CCGAGTTTGGCCCTGGAACTCCATCACAAAGTGGGGGGGGGGTTCGCCATACCCGCACTGATTCATTTGTTATTTGGACTTCTGGGTATGGGTTTCGCGCATTTTACATCGGTTCCTCGCGCCGCTCCCCATCGATCCTGAGTCGGGCATGTCGGGGGCTCCAAGCTGGCTCGATGTAGCCGCAACCTGGGCCCAGGGTGACCCAGGACGGCCCCGAACGAGTGTCAAAAGGGCAGCAGTGCCGAATTGCCCCCAAGACGGACGATGTTCCGAAGACGGCCCGATAGGGAGGACCCCGAGAGGCTTGATTTCCATTTGTCGCTTGCATGATTTGGGCATTCTTTTTTATCGGCCGTCAGAGGGGGCCCGATCGTCCCAAGACTCCCCACGCTGTGCCCAAGAGGGTGCCGAGCACCAGCGGGCCAGAGGACACCCCAAAAGTGCCCCAGGACGCCCCGAGAGGCTCCCCGAACAGACAGTCCCCAAGAGAGCCCCAAAAGATAGCGAGACACGCCAGGGACGCCACTATGGCCTCAAGAGGCCCCTAACATTCAGTCGGGCATGTCCCGCGACAGGAGGAATATTCAAAAATGGTCCAGAAGTACTCTGGGTACGATGTTTTGCATTTTAAAATATGTGTTGACTATCTTTCATTGCTCCTCACCTAAGCCAACAGCAAGAGGAGGAGGACACGCTGGACTGAACCCTAAGCAGAAACCCCAGAGCGCCCAAGGAGGGCCCCAGAGAGCGCCCCCGAACGGCACCGAGAGATCCCCCAGGCAGCCCCCAGTCGAGCCCGGGCCCTTCGGACACCCGCTGCCTGCGACAGAAGCCCTGGTGGCAGCCCGCCGAGAGCCTCCCGCGCTGTTCTGCGCTGCTGCTTCCTGGGCATGCCGCGGCAGCTCTTCTCTCTCGCGGGCCCGCCCACAGCAGCTCCCCCCCAGCGCCCCGGCAGCCCCGCTGCTGTATTGCATTTCTGGGACAAACGATCGGAGGTAGGAGCCGGGAAGGCATAGAGGAGGTGAGCAAATCAATTATAAGTGAGAAGCCGAGTAAGGTAAGTAAAAGGAACCAGGAAACCAGAACCAGTATGATACAAGCCAATTGCGAGGTAAGTAGAACAATCAGCTTTTTGAGGATCACTGTCTTCGCCCGCGCCCAGCAGCTCCCGCCCAGCGCCCCGGCAGCCCCGGCCACCGAGCCTCAACGTCGGGCATGTCCCTCTACAGGGAGAATAGATTCAAACATAGTCAAACCGAAGTCTGGGGACATGTTTTTTTTCCGCGTGTTTGTGTTATATATATGTATATACACATATACACATATATATATATATATGTGTATACATATACATTCGTCTTTATACATATATATATGTGTGTATAGGAGTACTTCTGGAATCTGCTTAATTTTTCGTCCGAAATCTGCTCGTGGGGGGACATGCCCGATCTAACCCGACCCCCGGGCCGCCGCGCCTCGGCCGCCATGGCGGGGCAGCCTTACCGGGTGGAGCCCGCCAAGTCGGACCGCTCGACGTGCGTGGCGACCCGGGAGAAGATCGCCAAGGGCGAGCTGAGGTTCGGCTCCCTCGTGGCGGGCGGCCCCGGCGGCCACGGCTCCTACAAGTGGCGGAGGCTGGAGGCCATCACCGCCAAGCAGGCCGCCAACGTCCACGAGGTTTCTCTTGCATCTTCGGGGGACTTCGCCTGTCTGAAAAATTAGTGTCTTTTTGGGGGGCCCGACGCGTGCTCGATGCGGACTCGACGCGGATTTGGCGTGGATTTGACGCGGATTCGACACGGATTCGACACGGATCCGACGCGTCCGACATGGATTCGACACGGATTCGACGCGGACAGGGCCGCGACGGGACAGACAAGGTCCCCCGAGGATGCAACATAACGAGGTGCTCGGCGGGCCCGAGCGCGTGGACGGCTTCGCGGAGCTGGCCGCCGACGAGCAGGCCAAGGTGCTGGGCGCGTTCGCCGCCGCGGCGGGGGCGCCGGCGGCGAAGAAGGCCGCCCACGCGCAGAAGGGGGGGATAGGCTTCTCAGAGGCAGCCCCTGCTTCTCTCAGGAGGGAAAAAACACACACAGACACGATTAATCGTCGACTCCCAGGAAAATATGGGAAAATATGGGAAGTGGGGGGGGAAGACAGAAACCCAGAAAGTAAGGGGAAATATGGGGGATATATTTATTTGTGTGTATTTATTTGTGTGTCCCAGGGCCCCTTCATTCTCAGAAGGCGCGGGCCTCGTCTGCAGATGTAAGGCCCGCGCCGTCTAAGAGGCAGCCTCCTTCTAAGAAGCCAGCCCCCCTCGCCCTATACAGTCAACCCGCATAGCAAGGATGGACAGCCTTCCCAGGGATACCATTGCATCCTTGCCTGCTCGGTCCATCCTTGGCCACATCCGTCGGCCTCGCCCCGCCCGAAGAGCTTCGAAGTGGGCATCCAAAGCCCTTGCATCCTCATCGCACACCTTTATCCCAGACGCGCGACGTCCTGATTTTTCCGGACGGCGTCCCTGGAAGTCCCCACCCTTTCCCCGGGACCGCTTTTTCATCCCGAGTCGTTTTTTGACAGTCCCGAGGCCCAGCGAGGGCCCCCAAGGCCCAAGGGTCTCGAGAACAGTGAGAAACGTCGCCGCCCTGAGCTTTGCTGCACGACGCGATCATGTCTGTGATGATACAGTCGGGGTCTTGAAGAAGGAACCCTTTTCGTTGGGGAGGGGCTCGGTGTTCCTTGATTGTTTTAAAGATTGCCTCGGGTTTGTCCTGAGGTTTTCCATAGGTAATCGAGGTTGAACTCATGGGAAAAAAGGGGCCTCGCTCCTCATTTAGGGTTCCTTAGGTCAACGCCTCGACTGTACGGGCCGGCGGTGTGCCTCCCCCCCTGCGCGCCGCGGGGAAGGCCAGAGCGAGAGCGCCGGCGGCGGAGGCGCCCGCGCCGCCCGCCAAGAAGCGCCCGGCCGCGGCGCCGCGGGCGCCGCCGGCTGCGGCGGAGGCGGCGGCCCCGGCGGCAGCGCCGGCCGCGGAGGGCGCCTCGCCGTCCGCCAGGGATGGGAGGGCGCCAGCTATACATCGGGGCCCTGAACAAGGAACCCTTTTCGTTGGGGAGGGGCTCCGCGTTCCTAAAGTGTTTCACAGCTTGCCTCAGGCTTTCCTTATGTTTTCGACAGGAAATCGAAGGTTAACTTATGGAAAAAAAGGGCCTCGTTCCTTATTTAGGGTTCCTTAGGTCAACGCCCCGACAGTATACATCGGGGGCGGTAAATCTAGGCCTCCCAGATGGGGTCGGAGTGGATGTGGCCGGTGGATCCCGCCGCATCGCCGATGCATCGGCGATGCGGCTCGGTGCGGAGACCGTGTTTCCACACGCCGACGTCGCCGATGCATTGCCGACGTCGCCGATGCATTGCCGATGCATCGCCGATGCATCGGGATGCATTGGCGATGCGGCGCGATCCTTCGATCCCATCTACTCGGACCCCATCTAGGAGGCCTCTAGTAAAGAGGGGGGTGATGATGACTAGGGGGGGGTGGATATCATGGCGGGGGCCATGGTATTTCCCCAGAGTTAGTGGCGCCTCTTCTTATTTCATTACGTCCCTGGCCTCCCCGCTGGGCCCCGCACATGCCGCCGGTCATGATTTGCACCCCCCCCTCTTGGACCCCCCCCTCTTGGCCGCTCCCGAATAAACCTACACTCCGAGCCCCGAAACATCAGGGGTAGCTCGGGTCAGGGCTAACTGGGGCTCGTTTTTCGGGAATCCGAGCCCGAGTTGCCCCGGGCCTGAATTGCCCCAGATGCTTCGGGCGTCCAGAGCCCCGAATCATCAGGGGTAACTCGGGTCAGGGCTAACTCGGATTCGTTTTTCGGGAATCCGAACCTGAGTTGCCGCGGGCCTGAATTGCCCCAGATGCTTCGGGCGTCCAGAGCCCCGAATCATCAGGGGTAACTCGGGTCAGGGCTAACTCGGATTCTTTTTTCGGGAATCCGAACCTGAGTTGCCGCGGGCCTGAATTGCCCCAGATGCTTCGGGCGTCCAGAGCCCCGAATCATCAGGGGTAACTCGGGTCAGGGCTAACTCGGATTCGTTTTTCGGGAATCCGAACCTGAGTTACCCCGGGCCCGAGTTACCCCGGATAATTCGGGCGTCCGATACATTGAAGTCGGGCGTGTCCCTCCGAAGGAGGAGCATTCAAACATAGGAACAAATAGTCTGGGGACGATGTTTCGATTATTGCTAGGCTGATGTTTGATCCCGTTCTGCTTTTTTGTAAACAAAAACATCTGCCCGTAGGGGGACATGCCCGACCTAAGCCTACACCGACGCTAGCCAGGCCGATCCTGGTCCCAGGATCGGTGTGCACGCTCTCCTGGCCCGGCAGGGATCGGCGAGACGTATAAGAGCGACCTTTCGCCGGAGGGGCCTTTGGTGCGGGCACAGACGGGTTCCCCGATCGCCGAACGCGAAGCGGCAGCAGCGGCCTGCGCGCCCTGGTTTGGCCACCCCGCGTCCCCCGTGGGGCCGCGCACCGAAGGTTACCCTTGCCCACGGTGGGCTCGTGTCGTGTCGACCGGCGGCGACCCCGCCAGCGGCGCTCAGCTTTGAACGCCGCGGGCGACCCAGAATCGCCCGATGTGGAACGAGTTGGACGTTTCGGAAATGGCCGATCGTTCAAGGTTGACCGATCCCCGCGGTGTCAGAAACCAACGCCGAAGTCGGCACGACACGAACCTGACTTAGACACCGATCCCTGACCCAGGGTGGGCCAGGCCAGGCTCGGTGCGTATAGCTTTAAGTCGGGCCTGTCCCCCGACAGGGGGATTTTCGACGAAAAATGAAAAGTACCCCAAAAGTAATCCAAAAATAATCCCCAACAAATTGTTTTACCTTTTTGGGTTGTCTGTAGGGTATTTGTTATTTTTCATCGAAAATCCCACTGTGGGGGGACACGCCCGACGTAAGTATAGCTGCCGCCCTCCGAGAGGAGGGCAGGGAGGCGGCACTGCCCGCGGCCACGGAGGCGGCGGCCCACGCGCTGTTGGACATCGCCAAGGCCGGCACGAAGCAAGCGTTACATCGGCCCTGTCCTTCTACAGGGGGAATGTGCAAAAATAGTCAAAGAATTGTGTGGGCACGATTTTTGGTTCAATCCTTTTGAGCATGTCTTGATTTGTCGCTGGATTATTTTTGATTTTTCGTCCAAGATCCGCCTGTAGGAGGACACGCTTGACCTCAAGCAAGCGGGTCTCGCGAGAGGAGCAGTTCCCGGGGCTCCTGGCCGGTTTCGGGACCTCTGGGGGGCCGCAGGACTGGCGGAAGCGGCTCGGGATCAAGAGCTGGTCTCTGGGGAGAGGCCCCGGGCGTCCAGGGGCCCGTTGCCCAACCTGCTTGCTTCTGCGTCATGCCAACCAAGGGCGACCAGTGGGACGACCTCTTCCGACGGCTCGACGCTCGGCCAGAGCTCGTGAACATCCGCCCCGAGGTGCGGCAGTTCTCCCTGCTGCACCAGGCTGTCTACATGGGGCGCGCCTGGGCGGTGGCCAGGCTCCTGGACGAGTACGGCGCTGACCCAGCCCAGCGCACCAAGGCGGGCGAGCCGTGCTCCTCGATCGCGGAGGCGCGAGCCAGCCCGGAGATCGCCGCGCTGATCGCGGCGCACACGGGCACCGCCGCGGCGGCCGCATCCGCCGAGGCGCCTGCAGACCTCACGCCAGAGAAGGTGTGCAAGAAGGCGGCCGAAGCAGCCGCCAGCGTGGGCGAAGAGGGTGCTCTGGAGGCTGCGCACGCCCTCATCGACCTGGCAAGGGACGCGAGCTGGAGCGAGCTCTTCGCCGCTCTGGACAAGCGGAGGGAGCTCGTTGACGTCCGCCCCTCGGTGCGCGAGTACAACGTCCTGCACCAGGCGGCATACCACGGCGACGTGGACGCGCTGTGCGCCCTGATCGACAGGTACGGCGCCGACCCCGCCGCGCGCACGAAGTCGGGCCTCTCGGCGGAGGAGGTCGCCAGGGCGCAGGGGCACGCGCGCGCTGCCGACGACCTGCGGCGCCGTGCCCAGGGCTCCTCGGGCACCGGAGCAGCGGGGGACGCCCACGCGCTGATAGATCATTCCGGCTGACGCCACGCGCGTCGCCGCCCCCATGTTTCGTGAGGCCGCGGCCAGCTGGCTGGCCCCACATCAGCCTGCGGGACTTGGAAAGTACTCGGGAGTTCAGACGTCGGGACGCAAGATGAGGAGGCGGGGGGAAGAGGACAAGGACGTTGAGGATAACGAGGGGGAGGCGGACGGCGAGGAAGCGTGGAAGGGGGCAAGGGGAGACAGGAGAACAGATGGAGAACAAGAGAGAGAGGGATGCCCAAGAAAATAAGCGATGTGCACACGCACATCTGTATGTATACATGTATATATATAATAAATAAATACAGACGTACTACGAGAGAAAGAGATGGAGAGGACCAACGAGATATCTGTGCATACACAGAGAGAGGGAGACGACAGAGAGAGAGAGGTATAACAACAACCAGTGACACACCTATACATATATAGTTTCATATGCATGTTTGGGCTTGGATAGTAGTTTATGTATGCACGTGTGTTTGCATGTATATATACACATATGGATATGTATAGATATGTATATATATACATACATGCATCGGTATACTTATACTTATGCTTACATACACGACGGAAGCGCCAGCGTACGAACGCACACACACACACACACACGCCTATATACATATGTACACTTATGTGTGTGAAAGACTGTGCACACAAATGTCTAGGGACCGGCATCGATAACGGCATAGTGCCGTACTTGCACATGCATGCCCGTATGAACACGTGTATATGTACACATGTACAGATTGCATGTATGCGTTATCACCTATGTGTATATCTTCATAAATGTATATGGGGCGAGAGCCTGAGGAAGAGAGAGAGAGAGAGAGAGAAAAAAAAAAAAGCAGAGAGGGAGGGAGATGTGGACATCCGAGGGACATTTGCCTCTGAGGTCGTCTCTGGTCCTTTGTGGAGCTCTCTTGGGTTGTGAATGGGGCTTTCTTAAGATGGTCTTTGCTCTCTGGGAGCATCTTGGAGCTTTCTTGGGCCGCCTAGGGCCTTGGGCCGTTCTGATGCTGGGTCCTTCGGAGCCATCCTGAACCGCTCTTGGGCGATCGTAGGGTCCTCTTAATTCACGCAGTTGTGAATGAGTTTTCGATCGTCTGTGCGGTGTGGGACTCTCTTTGGCCCTCTTAGGCCTCTGTCGTCCTGGTGGCTCCTTGTGCTGTCCTGGAGTCCCAATTAGCCTGGACTCCAAATGGGCCCATCTATCCAGCCCCTCAGCTGAAGTCCCCCATTTCGGGCTGGAGACAGGGGCGAGCTTTGCGCTGGGGCGTGGTATAGTACAGGATTGGCGGCACCAAGGGGGCTCGCGGACTTGGCGAAGGATTCGAGGTGGCCAGAGCTCTTCCGAGCGCTTGATGCATCTGGGGACCTCGTGAACGTGCGCCCCGACGTCCGGGAGTTCTCGGTCTTGCACCAGGCGGCGTATCACGGCGAGCGCGAGGTAGTGGCCGCTCTGCTGGACAGGTGCGGCCGGGCCTCCGACAAGCATTCGCATGGCATCCCGAATCCCAAAGAGTTCGCTTTTTCCGCATTCAAATATTGAGCATATTCCGCCCAGTTTTTTTTCAACTTGTTTTGGGGAATCACATGGCTGACGCACCATGCCACAAGCCATTAATCAATGCTGGGAAGACTCCCAAGCGAGAGGAGGCAGGCCTTTCCAGAAGGGAGGGCGGGGGAGGAATGAGGGCACGCAGGCCTTCCTACAAGGCGGTGGGGCTTCGGAGAAAGCGTGGAAAGCTTCCCACAAGGAACGAGGCAGTCTGAGCCGTCTGTGTATGCCCGCAGTCTTCTGCCTTCCCCCGCGGGCGCGCCAGAGAATGTATGCAGGGGGCACGACGGGCAGACCGCGATGCCGGCGACCATGATGGGTCAATCCCTCGGGGTGGACGGGACCCCACCAACGAAACCCACTGGCAAGCAACGGCCAGAGCCCCGCGGTGTCCTTTGCGGGACCTTGGTGGCGGGACCTGAGTGGCCCTTGGCGGAAGTGTTGGGGGACCCCGTGATCAGGCGCGGCCGCAGCATGCACGACCGCCGTCTGGGCGGGACCCACCTTGGCGGGACCTTGTCGCCGACAGCGGGCGAATCCCGGCATCTCAATTTATTCGCTACAGCCAACGCTTAAGGCTTTCGCGTGTTGCGATGATCCTGGCGACGGAACCGATCGCAATGGAGGTGGGACGAAGGACGGAGAGCTCACTATGGGGCCAGAAAGCGCGTGAGGGGTGTGCGAAAGTGGGGATGTGCCTCTGAGGGCGCTGGCACTGGCGCCGCTGGTGGAGCTCCCCATGCGGCCACGGAGCGCGTGATGAGCGTGCCGGCGTGGGGTGGCGCCGTCGTGCGGGCCTTGCCCACGGGGGCCTCTCGGTGGATCTCCCTGCAGGGCCACGAGACGTGTGAGGGCTTTGCCGGCACGGGGCGGCGCCGCCATGCGAGCCCTGCCATTGGAGCGTAGTGCGGAGCGCCCTGCACGGCTACGAGACGTGGGAGGGGTATGCCGAAACGGAGGCGGCGGCGCCATGCAAGCCCTGCCGCTGGGGCCTTCGTTCAAGCTTCCCATGGGGCCACGAGACGCAATAGGGTATGCCGAGATGGAGGCGGCGCCGCCATGCGAATCCTGCCACTGTGCTGACAGGAGACGGCGCCGCCATGCGAACCCCAGCGTTTGGGCCTTAGTTGGCACCCCGTGTGGAGCCACGAAGCGTGTCAGGACTGTGATACGCAGAGCAGAGTCGGGAGGAGGAGGAGGAGGGGGCTGGACAAGCTAGGTGCGCTAGCGTCACATCTGACGTCCTACTCCTCCATCCCATCCGTTAATGTAGGGTCCGGAATTATAAAGCGGGGCCTCCCCCCCCCCCCTGACCTCTCCCGGGGGGGGGGGGATAGCGCCCCTGGCAGGGAGTATTTTATCATTCTTCGCCGCCGCCGCCGCCGCCGTCGTCGTCGTCGTCGTCGTCGTCGTCGTCGTCGTCGTCGTCGTCGCCTTCGGTTTTTCGAAGGTTTTTCGTCGACCCTCGATCTTCGGAGGTTCCTTCGATTTCGCCTGGGTCGTCGTCGTCGTCGCCTGCGTCGGCGTCGGCGTCGTGGGAGGCGGGGCCCATCGGCCTCTCCGCGGCCGCCTGCGGCCGCCTGCGTCAGCTTGGATGAACAAAGGGCTGCCTTTTGCAGCCCTTTGTTGATCTAAGCTGACACCAGTACACGCCTTGTGGAGTCGACATGTTCCTCCTCCTCCTCCTCCCCCCCCTCCGCTCCCCAGCGCCTCGCACGAGGGGCTGGAATGTGATGTGGGGCATGGGCCACGACTTGTGCGGGTTCGCCCCAGCAGGGGGGTGCAGCCGAGTTTGCCGTCCGGCCGCACCCCGAGGCATTTAATTTGGCTTTTGTACACGCGCCGAACGTCAATTGCGATTTGCCAATGGTTTCCCAATAGATGATGGTTCCCCAAGAGGGCGCCGAGTGTCCAGGACCACCCGAAAGGGCCCCAACAAGGCCCCCAGACGTATGAGGTCACAGTTTGGGGTCTTCCGCTGCGGGTGTGTGTTTTTTTTGTATTGTTCCCCCCCCGAAAAACTTCCCCCCCTTATTGTTCGCCCGAACGGGCTCGACTTGGGCTCCCCCGCGCGAGCCTTTGAAAAGGCATAACCCGTGACGCAGGCATACATTAAACACAGCAGAGAAAGATTGGGGGCGCCTTGGCGATAAACATTGTGCCTGTGGCAGACACGCTCCACCAGCAGTGGCGGGCACTGCGCGGAGACTCGAGAGAGCCCATTCCTGCCCACCTCATTTTCGTCGTCGTTGTCGTCGTTCTCTCGTCCCTGGAGGCGGCGGGGGAAAGGAACTTCGAGTATTATGTGTCGCGTGTGTTGGTCCGTAGCCATTTTGGCTCAAGCCATTTTGGCTCAAGGCCAAGGTGGCTTGAGGTGGCTTGGGCGGCGCGCGCGGCGCGCCCGCCGGCCGCGGCGCGCCCGACGCTTCATGGGGAAGCGGCGTGCCCAGCAGGGGCGCGGCGGGCAAGGGGGATGGCGTGGCCAGGCCCCGGAGCGCTGCCACCACTCCCCCCGGGGTGGTGCTGGGGGTGGCTCGCGGTGCCGGTCCCGGAGCCGCCCAAGGCCGCCGTGGAGCCAGCACCGGGGTGCTGGGCCGTGCGGTCGGGGCCGCCAGCGCCAGAGCCTGCGGCCGCAGAAGGCGGAGCGTCGGCGGCGGCGCCGAGCGCAGCAGGCGTCGGGGGCAGCGCATGGCCGCCTGCGGCGTTCGCGGAGCCTCCGTGGCCGGGCTGGCTCCCCTTCGGAGGGGCGCCGTCGCTCGGGGCCTCGAAACTCGAGGCACAGCCGCTCGCCCCCAGGGGGCCCAGCGATGGCGGCGCCAGCGAGGCGGGTGCCCACGACGCCGCCGCGCACGGCGCGGGGGCGGGCCAGCAGCCAGGGTCTCCGCTCCCCCGAGGTGCCAGCGTCGCTTCCTCAGCGAGCTGGGATGGAGGAGGCGGAGGCAGGTGCGGAGGCGGACGTGAAGTACAGCTACTTCACTCCGACGTCGGACGCGGACGACGCCCCAGGCGCTGCGGCTCCACCTGCGCTCGCAGTCACCCCCGAGTCGCCGCCGGCTTCGAGCCAGGCTCCGGTAGCCGGGGCCCCCGGCGACGGCGGGGGCGGCGGCGGCGGGGGCGGCCGCAAGCGGGCGGAGCTGGTCGCGGCGGCCCTGCGGGTCGCCGGACTTCGGGGATACATGGCCGAGGCAGTCCCCGAGGGCATCCTGCTCCGGTGGGCTCCCTGAAGGAGCCGGCGGATGCGAGCCGGTCCGGCTCGGAGTCGGGTGGCCCTGGCACGTCGTGGCTTGGCTCGGGCAGCCCCCGCATGCGGTGGGCCGACGTCGACGACGGCGACGCGGATGACGCGGCGCAGCCGGCAGCGCGCCGCGCGATCGTAGTGGCCACGCCCCCTCGGCAGCAGCCGACGCAGGCCCCGAGCCGCCAGTGCTGCAAAGGCAGCCCTCGCCCGTGGCAGGGCGGCGGCGCGGCCTGCCCCATGGGCGAGGGCGAGTTCGACATCGAGGGCGAGTACAACGCCCTCGGCTCTGCTGTCGTTCCCTCCCCCCTCCTGGGCCCGTCGGCCCGGTCGAGGTCGAGGTTGCTCCGGTGGAGGTGGCTCCACCCGGGCAGGAGGCCGGCGTCGCGGCCAACACCGACAACGCCCTCGGCTCTGTCGGTCTTTCTCTCCCTCCTGGGCCCGCTGGCCCGGTCGAGGTCGAGGATGCTCTGGTGGAGGTGGCTCCTCCCGGGCATGCGGCCGGCGTCGCGGCCAGCATCGACGACGCCCTCGGTTCCGTCGATCCCTCCCTCCCTCCTGGGCCCGCTTGCCCGGTCGAGGTCGAGGTCGCTCCGGTGGAGGTGGCTCCTCCCGGGCATGCGGCTCCGGTGGAGGTGGCTCCTCCCGGGCATGAGGCCGGCGTCACGGCCAGCATCGAGGAGACGCTGGCGCGGCTCTGCTCTGCCCTCCGCGGGGGGGCCGAGCTTGGTGCCTTGGTCGGACCGCCCCCTGGCGTGGGCGCGGCGGCTGCGAAGGCGCCAGCCGAGGAACATCTTGCTGGGGCCAGGGCCGCGGCTGGGTACGAGGTGGCGCTTGCGCGGCTCTGCCTGCAGCGGTGGAGCGGCTGGGCCCCGGCTGCCGCAGCTCCTCCCACGGCTCGGCCCGAAGAGGTCGAGACGCGCTGCCCTCTTGGATCCGCCGATCTGGTCGAGGTGCCGCGCAGCCCGATGGAGGCGCCGGAGGCTGGGCCAGCCCTCGCGCGCCCCCTCGGCCTGGATGCGCCCCTCCCTCCCGGGCCAGGCCCGGTGGAGGTCGAGGCGGCCGGCTCCCCGCTGGGGCTGGCCGATGCTGCGGAGCCGCCCGCCCCCCCTCCCGGGCCAGGCCCGGTGGAGGACGTGCCGGGCGGTGCGGTGGCCGCGGAGGCGGCGGCTCGTGTTCACCACATGGCGTTGGTGAGCGCGCTGGTCCGGGCGGGCGGACGGCCGGCCGAGGAGGAGCTGGCGGTGTTGCTGCGGGCCCCCACGGGGGGGAAGCGGCGGCAATTGCAGCGCCGACTGGACGTCGTGCTGCGCCAGCTCTCTGGCCCAGCCCTCGCCGAGCTGATGGGCCAGATGGCTGCCGGCGTCTCCGCCGCTGCCAGGCGGAGGTAGGCGCGGTTGCTCGCCGGCCGCTGCTGCGGCGGTGCCGCCGCGGCGCCCTCGGGTGAGTGCGGGGCTGCGCCGGCGCGGGCGCCCCCTGCCTGCCCTCCCCCTCTTCCCCTCCCTCCCCCCCTTCTTCTGCGCTGCCTCTTTTTCGTTCGTCTGTCGTCCGTCGCTCGTCTGTCGTGTCGCGCCGCTGGGCTCCGTCTGCGATGGTAAAAAAGTGTCGCGTGTGTTGGCGGCTTTATGCCATCTCCGCGTGTTTCAGAATTGGAGGAGGAGTGGAGGACCCCCCCTTCCTGTCGTCTCTCTCCTCTTTGGGGGCGGGGGAGGGGAGGAACTTCGAGTATTATGTGTCGCGTGTGTTGGTGGCCTTGTGCCATCGTTGCGTGTTTCCATACAAGTGGGGGAGGAGTGGAGGACCCTCCCTTTCGTCCTCCTCCCTCCCTCTCTCCCCCTCCCCCCCCTCCCCACCCCTCCCGCGCCCGCCCTCCCCGGAGGTGCGCCCAGCCCCCCCGAGCCGGAGATGCCTGCGGGCGCTGCCTCCGCGTTGCCGACATTTGCCCGATATTACCATCCCGAGCCAGGTGTTTCGGAATATTGTCCGACATTTGCCCGATATTGCCATCCCGATTGTTGCGGGTGCTTCCGATATTATTTGTCCGACATTTGCCCGATATTGCCATCCCGAGCCAGGTGTTTCGGAATCTTCCGTGTCGTCAGAGGCATCGCCCGAGGAGCATGGATATTGTTAACTCGTTTCAATTCGTTTGCTCTGTGCAGTGAGGACGTGCCGAATGTGCTGCTTCGAGCCGTTGAGTGGTAGAGTGATGCATTCGGTTCAGTTGCAACGCAGCCTTTGCAGGTAAATCAGTAGAGAAGAGATTGCCATCCTGCCGCCGATTATATGTCAGATTATTTGTCCGATGTTGCTATCCCGCCACCGTCTGTTTTGTGGGTCCGAGGCCGCTCAGATGGCTGATGGGTTCTCCTGGGAAGCGTCTCGGGGGCTTCTGGGGGGCATTTGTTGGGCCTCTCGGGTTTTTTTTTGAGGGCTCTCGCGGGGCTCCCTGGGGACACCTCAGGGCTTCTCTAGGGCGTCTCGGGGGTCGTCTGGGGAGGGCGTTCTGGGGCCTAAGGCTCCACATTTCTGTTCGGATTCCCCTTCCGGGCTTCCTTTTGAGGCTGTCCTCGGGCTCTCTTGGGCCGTCTTGATGCTTCGTTGTGGAAGTACTTGGAACCCGCTCGGGGGCTTCTCGGGAGCCTCTTGTGTCATCTGGTAGGGATATTGGGGAGCTATTGGGCCGTCTCGGAAGCCTCTCGGGGGCGTCTTGGGAACATTTTTTGAGCCTCCTGGGTTTCTCTAAGGCTCTCGCAGGGCTCCCTGGGGGCACCTCGGGGCTTCTCTAGGGCGTCTCGGGGGCCTCCTGGGGGGGCGTTCTGTGGCCGAAGACTCCAAATGTCTGTTTGGATTCCCCCTTCTGGTCCTCCTTTTGAGGATGTCCTGTTTTCTCTTGGGTATTGGCTATTGTAAACATGCACATATATCTTAGAATACACACGGCAATACTATAACAAACAGATTCGGACACGACCGGATTACGGCAGGTAAGGTCACGGAAAGCGGCAGCAGCAGGAGCATAATGATAATATAAGGAGTACAGTAGCGGCAGCAGTTGTGTCTTCTTTTGTCATCCTCTCCCTCACTCCTCCGTTGCCTTTTGGGTCAAGATCTCAGAGCGATTTCGGGCGTATCCCGACAGCTCTGGTTGCCGGGCGCGCCGCCCGCGACCGCGCATTTGCTGGGTGCGCCGCCGTGCCGTTTCAACATGTAAATGATTTATGTTTGTGTTTTTCTTCTGGTGTGTCGGGTGCGCGGCCGTGCCATTTCAGAGTGCAATTTGCTAATTATTATGCTTTTCTTCTGGCTCGCTGGATGCGGAGCCGTGCCGTTTCAGAATGAAAATTCTTACTTATTATCATGTTTCTGGTGTGCTGGGTGTGCGGCTGTGCCGTTCGAGATTGCAAACTCTTAAGTATTGTGTTTTTTCTTCTGGCGCGCTGGGTGCGCGGCCGTCCTGTTTCAGAACGTCAATTGTTAATTATTATCCTTTTCTTCTGGTGTGCTGCGTGCGCGGCCGTGCCGCTCCAGAACCTAAGTTGTTAATTCGTATCCTTTTCCTCTGTTGCGCTTGGTGTGCGGTCGCGCCATTTCATATTCGAAATTGCTAATTCTTGTGATTTTCTTCTGGTGTGCTCGGTGCGCAGCCGTGTCATTTCAGATTCGAATTTGTTCGTGCCGATTTATATTCCAAATTGGTAATTCTCGTTTTTATCTTCTGGTGTACTGGGTGCGCGGCTGTGCCGTTCGAGATTGCAAACTCTTAATTTTTCTGTTTTTCTTTGGGCGCGCTGGGTGCGCGGTCGTCCCGTGGCCGTCCCGTTTCAGAATGTCAATTACATTCTTATTATTTGTCTCTGGTGCGCTTCGTGCGCGTCCGCGCCGTTTCATATTGCAAAGTGCTAATTCTTATGGTTTTCTTCTGATGTGCGACTGTGCCGTTTCAGATGGTATTTTGTTAATTCTTATACTTTTCGTCTGGTTTGTTGGGTGCGTGCCCGTGCCGTTTCAGAATGTACAGTTTTAATCATTATCCTTTCCTTCTGGTGCGCTGCGTGTGCGCCGCTTCAGAATACAAATCCTTAATTCGTATGCTTTTCGTTTGATGTGCTGGGGTGCGGCCGTGCCGCTTCAGATTAGAATTTGCTAATTCTTACGGTTTCTTTTTCGTGTGCTCGAAGCGCTGTCGCGCAGTTTCAGATTGCAAACTGCTTATTATTATACTTTTCTTTTGGTCTGCTGGGTGGGCGGTTGTGCCGTTCCAGAATGCAACAAGTTTATTATTATGCTTTTCTTTTGGTGTGCTCGGTGACCGGCCGTGTCGTTTCAGAATGTAAATTGTTAATCATTATGTTTTTCTTTGGGTCTGCTGCGTGCGCGAGACGCCTTTTCGTAATATAAATTGTTATTCGCGCACCGAACAGACTAGAAGAAAATAATAAGAATCAGCAATTTGCAACTTAAGACGGCACGGCCACGCACCCAGCACATCAGAAGAAACATAATCATAATACGCAGCCTGCAATCTGAAACGGCACGGCCGCGCACCGAGCACAGTAGAAGAAAATAGTGAGAACTACGAATTTGCAATCTGAAACGGCACGGCCGCGTACCGAGCACCCAAGCAAAAAACGATAGCAAGCGCACAAAAATAAATATGAGAATTACGAATATGCAATCTAAAACACCCAGCACACAAGAAGAAAAACATAAGAATGAGTAATTTGCAATCTGAAACGGCGCGACCGCGCACAAAGCGCACCAGAGAAACAACTATTCAGAATTTACAGTCTGAAAGGGCACGGCCGCGCACCCTGCACACGAGAAACAATCATTAGGCCGTGCCGTTTCAGATTGCAAACCGCTAGTTATTATGATTTCTTCTGGTTTGTTTGGTGCACGGCTCTGCCGTTTCAGATTGCAAATTGTTAATTAGTTTGCTTTTCTTTTGCTGTGTTGGGTGCGCGGCTGTGCCGTTCCAGATTGCAATCTCTTAATTCTTATTCTTTTCTTCTGATATGCCGGGTGCGCGGCCGTGCCGTTTCAGAATGTATATTGTTCAGTCATCCTTTTTTTTGGTGCATTGCATGCGCGGCCGCGCCCTTACATATTGCAATGTGCTAATTCTTATATTTTTCTTCTCTTGTGTTGCGCGGCCATATTGTTTCAGAATGCAAATTCTTAAGTATGTTCCTTTTCTTCTGGTGTGTTCGGTGCGCAACCGTGCCGTTTCAGATTGCAAACTGCTAATTCTTATTATTTGTTCCTGGTGTGCTGGGTGTGCGGCCGTGCCGTTTTAGACTGGATACGGGTAATTGTTATCTTCTCTCACATTCGTCACGTACACGTTTGCCCGCACTGTTCAGAGTGATGTTACTTACGTTTACGTGGTTTCGGCTTATGTTGTTTACACTCACGTCTCACGTTGTTTGTACCCGCGTTGTTCGTGTTCAGAATTGTTTCTCGTCTCAAATTCTTGTTCACCAGAAGTCGTCTGTCATCTGAATCCGTCGCTCGTTTATCATTTCAAGTCATTTTTGATCCGAAAGCGTACGGACGCTATTCTTCGTCCTTGACGGTCGCGCGGGTCGTCGGCGACTTCCCAGCGCCAGAACATTTATTATTCTTCGCCCAAAGGAGGTTTTTTTAATCCTTGATCCTACATTACTATGGCGTAGATCTCCTATCTATTCGCACAGTCGGAAGTCGAGCAGGGCAATGATCCCAAGAGGGTACGCGATGGATGGAAACGCAGGGCTTGGAAGAGCACGGCAGAGCATAGCATGTCATAGCATGGCGTGGCATTCCGTAGTGAATCGTTGCGTCACAAAGCATAGCAACTCAAAGCATAGCATCGCACAGCGGTGCACAACACAGCATCCCATTGCATGTCGTGGCATGGCACCGCATGACTCGGAGGGTAATTGTCCCGTCTACGAGAGCATAGGGCCTGTCTGGAATGTCGGCTCCATGTCATCCGCAACCGTGCCTGCCCGATGTGGGCCCGGGGCCGCCCAGGCTCAGGAGGGGGCAACAAAGGCACAGACACGGTGAGTCGTCGATTCCTACGAAAATATGCGAACATGTGGGAAGTGGGGGGAAGAGTATCTCTTGGCCCCTTCACAGGTATGGTGCAGATCCAGCGGCCCGCTCGCGGTCGGGCAGGTCGGCGGCCGACGTGGCAGAGGAGCGGGGCCACGAGGAGCTGGCGCGGGAGCTCCGGGCCAAGCTGCAGGACCCCGACGAGGATTGCGACCTGGTGCAGAATGCTGACGGCAGCTGGACGGTGGTGCAGAGGGCGGCGGCGAGCGAGGGGGGGAAGTGAGGACAGGGGAACAGACAATGACCCAAAGCAGAAGCCAGGCGAGGGCTGGCAAGCCCGTGGCTGCCACAACGGAGCTCCGGGAGAGTGCTGCTTCCTTCCGGGAAGCAGCCCGTTTGTTATTTGGCGCGCTGAGTTATATTTTGGGAATTTGTGTTTGTTATTCCGGGAAAACTGTTTTTAGCAGCCACGGATTTGCCAGCCCTCGCTCAGCTTTCGAATAAACATAGCAACTCGGAGGTCCGCGCGGATTTCTCCAATCGGCGCTGGACTCCCCTCCCTGGCGCGCGGAGCGCGCCAGGGGCGGCACCGGAGGCGCCGCCAGGGGGTGCCAGCGCGGATCCGACAAGTCCGTGCGGACTTGTGAGTTTTTATGTTTATGTCATTGTTTGTTTCCCAAGAGGAGGAGGGCCTTCTCAGAGGGCGGCGGCGCCGAGATTGCCGCCGGCGGCTGCACTGTGGCCCAGAGGGGGTCCGCTGCTGGGCCCTGCGCACGCTGAGCCGACTGGGCGCGAATTACGGGGGGGAGGGGGGGCGATACACGGGGGGGGGGCGGAGCAAGGTGCCCTTTTCGGGCCCGAAGGCCCCCCTCTGGGGGCCCGAAAGGGCCCCTTCAGGGGCCCTAACAGGCCCCTTTTCTGCAGCCCTCGCTGCCCCCCGCAGTTATCGCTCCCCATGGATTGCGCCCCCGAGCCGAGCGGAAGGCGGGCGAGAGCTCGTTGCGGCAGTGGGGGCCTCGGGGGCTCGCCCCCGCAGTTCGTCTGATCCGGGCGCATCCTCGATGGGGGCATCGGATGCGAAACAATATCGAAGACGCCTGCGGCGAATCACCGCCGCCCCCCTGCCCTTTCGGAAGCGCCTATGTGGCCGAGCGTTGTGGCCAGAGGCCTGCCAAGCTATCGGACCATGTGTTCCCCGAGTCGGTTCGGAAAGCTTTCGGGGGACACGTGGGGGAGAATGAACATGAAGAGGAAGAGGAAGAGGCCCCTTGGGCCGTCTTGAGCCGTCGGAAGGGCGAGGAGAAACAAATGCCAACATCCTTGAAACAATTAGGGACAATTCATGGTTTGGGTCTCTTCGGGCCCTCCTGGAGGACCTCTTGGAGGCCTCTTGGGCCGTCTTGGAGGCCTCTTGGGGGCATCTTGGGGGCCTCTTGGGCAATATTGACGCCATGTCAGGCCGTCTTGGAGGCATCTTGGGCCGTCTTGGAGGCATCTTGGGGAGCGAAGCTATCGGACCATGTGTTCCCCGAGTCGGTTTGGAAAGCTTTCGGAGAACACGTGGGGGAGAATGAACGTGAAGAGGAAAAGGAAGAGGAAGAGGAAGAGTAGGACGATGAGGCTTCTTGGGAGTCTCTTGGGGCACCCTTGGGGCCTGCTGGGAGCTTCTTGGGGGCTTCTTCGAGGCCTCTTTGGGGCCTTAGACCTGCTGGGAGCCTTTGGTGGCTTCTTGGGGGCTTCTCGAGGGGCTCTGTGGCCGTCTTGGGGCGTTCCTAGCCCGTCTGACGCCGTCGGAAGTCGTGTTGGAGCCCTCTCTGGGCCGTCTTGGGGCCCTCGGGCGGCGCTTGAGGGCCGTCTTGGAGACCATCTTGGGCGTCTGGGAGGCCTCTTGTGCCGTCTTCGGGCCCTCCTGGCGGCGTCTTGGAGGCCTCTTGTGCCGTCATGGGGCCATCTCGAAGGCCTCTGGGGCGATCTTGGGGCGATCTTGGGAGCCTCTTGGGCCGTCCTCGGCCGACGGAACGCCCAAACGACGCAAATGCCACAATCCTTCAAAAACCAAAGGCAAATCAACGATTTAGGGGCCCCTCGGGCCTTGTGGAGGAACTCTTTGAGGCCTCTTGGGCCATATTAGAGGCCTCTTGGGGGCTTCTTGGGCCAACTTGGGCCATCGTGATACCATTTTAGGCTGTCTTGGGTGCATGTTGGATTGTCTTGGAGGCATCGTGGAGCCATCTTAGCCGTCGTGGAGGCCATCTTGGCCGTCTTGGATACATCTTGGAGGCCATCTTCGGCCGTGTTGGAGCCGTCTGGACCAGGAAATACATGTTGGAACCAGGTCGTGGCAAATGTTCGGCATCCTTTCGGGTGGCGGCGGGACGGGCCGAAGCACCAGGGGGAATTCTTTTGGAAAAAGAACCACAACCAAAACCGAGAGGATTCAGCACGCCAGGCACCCCTGCGATGAATCGACAGGGGGCGGCCGATCGAAGACGCCTACGGCGAATCACTGCCGCCCCCTGCCTTTGGGGAAGCGCCTAATTATGTGGCCGAACGTTGAGGCCAGACCTGCCAAGCTATCGGACCATGTGTTCCCCGAATTGGTCTGGAAAGCCTTCGGGGAACACGTGGGCATCTTGAAGGTCATCTTGGCCGCCTGGAGGCCATTGTGACCCTTTCGGGCCTTCTTGGAGGACGTCTTCGAGGGCTCGTGGGCCGTCTTGGAGGCCATCTTGAGCGTCTTGGAGGCCTCTTCGGCCGTCTTGGGGGCCTCTTGGGGCCGTCTCGGGCGCCTCTTGGGCCGTTCTGGGGCCATCTTGGAGGCCTCTTGGGCGATCCTTGGGCGATCTTTGGGGGCTCTTCGGCCGTATCGGGCTGTCGGAAGGCCGAACCGAAGCACATGCCAAAAATCCGGCAACAACCTTCGGACAATCACTCTTTTTGTCCTTTCCTGGCTTTCCTGGAGGCCCTTCTGGAGGCCTCTTGGGCCGTCTTGGGCCAGCTGCGAGCCACCTTCGGCCATCTTGGTGGGCTCCTGGCCCGTCGGAAGCCGCTTGGGGGGCCTTTCTGGGCCGATTTGGGGCCCTCTTGGGGTGCTCCAGGGCCGTCTTAGAGGCCATCTTGGGCGTCTTGGAGGCCTCCTGTGCCGTCTTCGGGCCCTCTTGGGGCCGTCTGGGAAGCGTCATGAGCCGTCATGTGGCCATCTTGGAGTCCTCTTGGGCGATCTTGGGGCGATCTTGGAAGCCTCTTGGGCCGTCTTGGGCCGTCGGAGAGCCGAAGATGCGCAAATGCCAAAATCCTTCAAAAACCAAAGGAAAATCAATGATTTTGGCCTCGTCGGGCCTTCCTGGAGGACCTCTTGGAGGGCTCTTGGGCCGTCTTGGAGGCCTCTTGCGGGCTTTTTGGGCCGTCGTAGACCATTTTGAGGCCATCTTGGGCCGTCTTGGGTACGAGCCATCTTAGACGTCTTTGAGATCATCTTGGCTGTCTTGGAGGCATCTTGGAGGCCATCCTGGGCCATCTTGGCCGTCCGGGAAACCATCTTGGGCCAACTTGGGGCAACAAAGGCATTGACCCCGGCGGGACGGGCCGAAGCCCCCTGGGGAGTTCTTTTCGAGAAAGAACCACCACCAAAAGCCATGTCGTCTGGCACGCAAGGCACCCCTGCGATGAATCGACAGGGGGCGGCCGATCGAAGACGCCTACGGCGAATCACTGCCGCCCCCTGCCTTTGGGGAAGCGCCTAATTATGTGGCCGAACGTTGAGGCCAGACCTGCCAAGCTATCGGACCATGTGTTCCCCGAATTGGTCTGGAAAGCCTTCGGGGAACACGTGGGCATCTTGAAGGTCATCTTGGCCGCCTGGAGGCCATTGTGACCCTTTCGGGCCTTCTTGGAGGACGTCTTCGAGGGCTCGTGGGCCGTCTTGGAGGCCATCTTGAGCGTCTTGGAGGCCTCTTCGGCCGTCTTGGGGGCCTCTTGGGGCCGTGTCTTGGGGGCATTTGGGTCGTCACGGGCCGTCGGAAGGCAGGACAAAGGCAAATGCCACAATGATTTTGACCTTTTCGGGCCTTCCTGGAGGCCCTCTTGGAGGCCTCTCGGGCCGTCTTGGGCCATCTTAAGGCCATGTTCGGCCGTCTTGGTGGGCTCCTGGTCCGTCTGACGCCGTCGGAAGCCGTTTGGGGGGCCTCTATGGGCCGACTTGGGGCCCTCTTGGAATGCTCCAGGGCCGTCTTGGAGGCCATCTGGGGCGTCTTAAAGGCCTCCTGTGCCGTCTGGGGGGTCTCTTGGGGCCGTCTAGGGGCCCTCTTGGGCCTTTCTGGCGCCATCTTGGAGGCCTCTTGGGCGATCTTTCGGTGATATTTGGGGGCTCTTGGGCCGTCTCGGGCCGTCGGAAGGCCGAAAAGAAGGAAATGTCAAAATCCGCCAAAAACCTGAGGAACATCAAGGTTTTGGGCCTCTTCTGGCCTGCCTGGAGGCCCTCTTGGGGGCCGTCTGTGGCCAGCTTCGAGCCAACTTCGGCCATCTTGGTGGGTTCCTGGCACATCTGACGCCGTCGGGAGCCGTCTTGGGGGCCTTTCTGGGCCGACCAGGGGCCCTCTTGGGGCGCTTCGGGGCCGTCTTGGATGCCATCTTGGCCGTCTTGGAGGCCATCTTGGGCGTGTTGGAGGCCTCTTGGGCCGTCGTGGGGCCCTCTTGCGGCCGTCTTGGAGGCCACTTGGGCCGTCATGGGGCCCTCTTGGGGGCCTCTTGGGCGATCTTGGGGGCCTCTTGGGCCATCTTGAGCCGTTGGAATGCCGAGAAGAGGCAAATGTCAAAATTCTTCAAAAGCCAATGGAAAATCAATGATTTTGGCCTCTTCGGGCCCTCCTGGAGGACCTCTTGGAGGCCTCTTGGGCCGTCTTGGAGGCCTCTGGGGGGCCTCTTGGGCCGTCTTGGGCCGTCTTGGACTCTTTTGGGCCGTCTTGGAGGCCGTCTTGGGCGGACTTGGAGGCCATCTTGGGCCATCTTCGCGATTTGTGAGGATGTCCCGAGCGAAACGGCCTTTTTGGGCGTTTTCAACGGGGTCTTCCGGGTGGCTGGCGGGACGTGCCGGAGCCCAAGGGGGAGTTCTTTTGGAAAAAGAGCCAAAACCAAAACCGAGAGGATTCAGCACGACAGGCACCCCTGTGATGAATCAACAGGGGGCGCTCGACCTTTCTTGACTTCGGCCCATCCCGCCACCGTGCCTTGGACCGATCGTTCGGCGACTCGAAGGCCCGTTTGGACCGTCTCGGAGGCCTTTCGGGGCCTGTTGGCACATCTTTGGGCCCTTCCAGTTCCGAACAAGTCGTGCAGACGCCCGCGGCACGCCGCGAGCCTTTGGAGGCTTTGAGAATTGTTGGGCTGGGCCCCTTTGAAAGATCGTCAGGACTGGGGGCTGAGGCTCAGGGGATGGACCTGAGGACACTCCAACTCGTGCCTCGCAGGCATGGCGGCGGATGACTTCATTCTGGGCGGCTGGGGACCTAATTACCACGCGCTTGCGAAAAGTGTGGGCGTCTGCGCCTGTCGGACCAAGATCAAGACAATGTCGCAGCTTGGCGTCTCTTCGGGCGCAGTTCTACGCGGGCGCGTGTTGCGCAGAGCCGCTAGACTGGAGTGTACCATCGTTTGTGTTCCTGCGCACCCCCGTACCCCCATACCACCTCTGCTCCTTCTTCCTTCTCTTCCTCCCCTCCCACCTTCATCCCACTTCTTCCTTCCTCGCTTCTCCCGTCTTTCCCGTCTGTCATGTATTTCTGTCTTTTCTGTACCGGGCGCCAGTTGAGTGGTTTGTGGGCTCACTGAACCCAATCGGCCTTCCTAGCCAGTGATCCCCCACGCATCCTCGTTGCTGGCATCTGGCCCTCCATCCTCTTCCGCGCCCGCTCGCCCTTTCCCTCCTTCGGATTCCGACCTCTTGGATTAAGTCCAGTCTGTCCCTCTACATGGGGACTTGTTCAAAAATAGTAAAACATAGTATGGGGAAGATTTGTTGTTTAAATCACTGTTGAATAGGTTTTGACTAGTTGTTTGGGTATCTTTAATTGTTCGTCGAAAATTCGCCTATCGGGGACATGCCCGACCTAACTCTTGCATCCATTCCCTCCTCTCCTCCTTCGCAGAAGCCGACCAAGGCCTCCAAGCTTCTCGAAGGCCTGCTCAAGTTCACCGGCCTTTACACCGTGGACTATGTGGACGTGTTGGCCGCTTGCCTTCTGCTGTCGCTTTTGTGCCCCATCATCGGGATCCACAGTTCGTGGAACACACATCTGGCTTTATGATGTTCCAACCTGCTTTAGCCTTGATCACCAGAAAGAATTTCGAGCACCAAAAAGTACCGAACCTCAGGGGTTTATCGTGTCGGGCCCTGGGAGACACTCGTCCGACACCGTTTCGACACTGTTTCGACACTTTTCCAGGTGCTCGAACTGGGATGTGGTCTTTGAGTACGATGGGAGCAACATAAGTCTGGCTTCACATTGTTCATGCTTGGAAGTGCCTCGGGTTGCGCAAGGCCCCAGTGCGCAAGCGCCAGGGCCGCCCGCTTCCTCAGGTCATCACACTGCCACCGACCATCCCAGGGGGGGAGCCACCTTACGCTGTGGTCGCCACGACTGCCTCTCTTCTGCAGTACTCCTGCCCATACCCCTTCACAGGCTTGCTACTCGATCTGCTGGTGTCGCTGCTCTCACCGCGGACACTCGCATGGCCAAGTGCTCTCATGCTTTCCTTCTGCCCTCTCTGCCCTCCTGTTGCTCCCTGTTCTTCCTGGTTCGATGTCTCTCCCTCATGCGCGTTATCTGGAGGGCTTCGCCCCCCGTCACCAGCCCCCCTCCGATTGCTTGGTACATCTTTGTGTTCTAGTTTGTCGGTGTTCAGCGTTCCGCCTGTTGGCAACCCGATTGGTTGGCATGCTGTCAGGGACATTTTGCCAATGGCTGGTGGGTTGCGCGCGTCTGCCGTGATCTACATGGGGGAGCGTGGCCCTGGGAGCGCCGCTTCGGCTGGTGCTCTATATATGAGAGTTTGCTGCCTCTCTGAGCCTTCGCCCCGCAGGCGCTCGTGAGGCTTCGCGGCTCCCGGGCCCGGCGCAGACTGTTTTTGGGGAAACCGCGGGGGGGAGCCGACGCCGTCCCCCGAGCACGGATCCCACTGCAGAGAAGTACGGCTTTTCTGCACTTGCGAGGGGGCGTGTGCGCTTTTGGGCCCCAGGGCTTTGCCCTCTCTTGGCCTTGACGTGAGGCCCCGCCTTCTTTTGCCCCCCCTCTGCTAATTAAAGCTGTGCGTGGCCCGCTTAGCTTCTATCGGAAGAGGCTCGCTCTCGACCCGCGGATCAAAAAGTGGTCTTTTGGGCAGCCCCCGCGGGGTGGGTTCGTGGCCCGGGGAATCGCGCGAGCCGTGCAAGTCGCTGCGGAAGCTGGCGCCGGCGGCGAGAGCTTCCGCGGCTGGTACGATAGGGACATTGGTTGGAGGCTCCCCCCCGAGGTGGAAGCGGGGCGAGACCCAGAAAACATGACAGTCACATGTGGCAGATCGTTTTGGACCAACGTGCCTCCTCTACTTGCGTCTCCTCGGCACGCGGCGGCGGCGTCTGGGACTCGACATCGATTGGCCCCGCAGCCTGCGAGGCCACATCACACACTCGCCGTTGGAACTACAGTGCCGACGGGGCATTGTATTTTCTTCTGCGACGAGGGCCCATGGTCAAAAAAAGGGAAGGAAGGACGGGAGAAGGACGGGACATTGGATTGAGGTCAAGGAAGTGGAACAAGGACGAAAGGGGACATGAAGGAAGGAACAGGGGGTGGATAAGGTTGGGAAGAGGGGGGAGGATAGGAGGCGCAGGAGGACGGTGCGGGGAGCCTCGCAGCTCCTCTCTGCAGCCAGCCCACCGAACGCGAGCGAGGGCGGGCCGTCCTCGGACACAAACGCTCGACGCACGGGCGATGACAGATTACGTCAACGACGACGTCAACGAAACAAAAAATCTCCATGACCATGACACCGACGACGACGAAAGACAACAAAGACGGCGATGGCGGCGATGACCACGGCGGCGGCGGCGGCGGCGGTGGACGACAACGACGGTGCTGGCGACAGCGAGGACGGCCACGTTTGCGGCGACGGCGACGGAAGCAAGGGCGAGTGTCGGACGGCAACGGCAACCCGTCTCGACCTCGCATGCATGCCCGTCTGCCCTGTCATCGCGTCTTCGTCGCCAACGTCCTCCTATTCCTGTCCTCCTCCTCCTCCTGTCCTCCTCCCGTCCTCCTCCTGCCCTCTATTATTCTTTTTTTGCTCGCGTAGTGAGCGAGCGGCGCAGCAAGTACCAAAGGAGAGCACCAAAGGAGAAGGCGGGCGGGAGAAACGCACCGAACGAAGTGTGCTAGAGCAAGATATGGCAGCAATGCGTTGATATTTCAGACGCCGAGACAATACTCACATCATAAAACAACAACTACATGGCAAAACCAACAACTATAGCGCTAAACCAGCAACAAACCTAAAGTTGGTAAAACCAACACATTTAGAGGACCTCTGGGTACCAGTTCACCAAGCACTAAGAGCTCATGTCGGGCCTGTCCCTCTGCAGGAGGAATATTCAAACACAGCCAGCATAGTCTGGGGACGTTTTCTGTACATGCTCATTTTCTCTTAACTTTTTTGAGGACGTTTCATTTTCATCCAAAACCCAATTGTAGGGGGACATGCCCGACCTACGACTACGCATAGCCGCGGAAGCGCGAACGCGTTGTATGGACCGAAGTATTGCGGGCTCGGGAACGCGTCCGCGCTGTAACTTGAGAGGTGCAGTGGAGACCCATGCCAAGAAACACCTTGCTTGCCTCCAGGGTGCCCCAGGTTTCTTGGGTTTCGGGGTGGTCTGCTATGGAAGGCGCGACGTTCCCGCACCAAGAATCGATGGACGTCTTGGGGTCTCAGGGTTGGGTTTCTTGTGGAAGGTTTCTTGTGGAGTGGCCTCCGCTGTATTGTTGAGTCGGGCCGGTCCCCCTTACATTGGGATTTTCGACGAAAAATAACCCAAAGATAAACAACAAATAGTCCAACAATAGTCTGGGGATTATTTTTGGAGTATTGTTTGACCCTTTTGGGGTACTTTTTGTGGCATTTTTTATCTCTCGTCGAAAGTCCCCCTGCAGGGGGACGGGCCCGATATGACTGTCTTTGTGGCCTCGGCGGCGCGGGCGCGACGACGTGCTCAAGACGACGGTGGCCGAGGGGCACGTGAGCCCGCTTTGCACGAGGGGGCGGTGGTTTCGGGAGCGCCTGGCCTGCAATGCGCTGAGGGCTGCAGCTTCGGGGGCGCGACGCCGTTGTCATTCGACTGCTGGAGTGTGTGTGCGCCCCACGGATATCCATCACCACCATGTCGATACCTCCTCCCTCCTCCACCCTCGTCTGCCTCTCCTCTTTCCTGGGAGGGGGGCAGGATGAGGGAGGCGGTGGTGGTGTGTACTGTTGGGCCCCGCAGTGTGGCCTCGGGAGCGAGGACCCGTTGTAACAAGCCAGTGGTTGCGGCCTTGGGAGCACAAGGTCGTTGCAGCTTTTTATGGTTTGTGGCCTCGCGGGCGGGACTGGATCGCAGCTGACTTTGGATTGTGGCCTCAGGGGTGTGCATCCCAGGGCCCCCCCCTCGGTTCTGAGAGCGCTGCTCCGGTGTGATAATGGGGTGCTTGCCAGTTCCTTCATCGAGCACAAACGGCCCCCTCATCTTAACAACACAGTGAAGACGCGGACTCACTGAGATCCCCATCTTTCGATTGGGGATAATAATTTTAGGCGTTTTGGTCTAATATATCTGCTGCACTGGCCCCTCATCCCTAATGTTTTTGGGGGCCCTCTCAACTTAGGTCCCCTCCCGAATGGTTAGGGGTCCTTCTTTGGTTAATCATTCCCCCCGCGTCCGATAGCAAGCCCCAATATTGGAATCTGAAGTATGATTATATAACATTGGGACTTGGAGGTGTCGCAGGTGGCAGGAGCAACCCGCCTCGCAGCCTGCTGGCCCCCAAAGGGGCCCGCGGACCACTTCCTTCTGCTCACCTGCCTTCCTTTTTTCTGTAGTGTGAAGTCGGGCCTGTCCCTCTACAGTAGGAATATTCAAAAATAGTCAGAACAACAAATAGTCTGGGGACGTTTTTCAATAGTATGTTTGAACATTTGGGGGCATTCTTCGGTGTATTTTCAATGTTTCGTCCACAATCCGCCTGTCGGAGGACATGCCCGACCTAACTGTAGTGCTCTGCGCCCAGATGTCAAGGGCAACTCAGCAGGAAGAGGAGGAGGACGAGCAGGTGAGAATGAACCCACCGATGCACCTCGAGATGCGACTGGCTGCCCAGTTCGCAGAGGACGGACCCCAAGTTTCTACATCACACTAGTGAGGCATCCTGCCCTCCCCCTGGCCGACGTCCTGCCGCCCTGGGCGCACGGCGCATGGGGCCGCGCGCCTCCTTCCAGATCTACGCGGCAGCATCGACGAGTGAGTGGCGCCTTCTGCTGTCGGGGCCCTGGAGACGGTGGTCAAAGCAAACGGGGGTCAGTCAGAGCGGCGGATATTGCAGGATTCTGTAGAGCCGGGGTTCCCCTGACCCGGGCTCGGGCGCAGGATCCTGCAGGATCTTGCAGGATCTTGCAGGGTCCTGCGAAGCCTGACTGACTGGGGTCTGGATTGACCCGGGTCAGTGGATCCCCGATGTTGGGAAGCTCGCTGCATATTCTTCCACCTCCGCCGCGCCGATTTCGCCGCTGCACCGCGCCCGCGTGTTCTTCTGTTCCTGGCGAGGCAAGCATCTATCCGTAACGCTCTGCCTGTTCCTTCTGCGCCTGGCGTTGCCGAGTGACATGAACGGCGGTAGTGCGAAAACGCTGTGTTGCGCAATTCTGGCATATTTGGAGCTACTGTACACTACAGCGACTACGTGGCGTCCGTGCGGGGAAGGGGGAAGGGGGAAGGGCGCGTGCGCGATCTAGGCGGACATCCTGCCCTCCGATTCCGCGGAGCAGGAGGGCATCTGCTTCTACGAGTTTCTGATCTGGGCGCGCCGGCTGCGCGACCTCATGCTGCAGGAGCGCGCGGTCGCAAGAGGGGACCCCGCCGAGTCACGCGGAGGTTCGGTGCGAATCATTCGTTTCAGAGCCTTCCGTCTCGCTCGACCGGGCGCTGGCGGAATCTGCGGCCGAGTTCCCCGATCTTCGGGGTGGTGGGTGTTTTTTGTTTGTCCTTCGGTGTTTCGACATTGGGCGGCAGGGTGGGGGAAAGGGGGGGGCTCAGTGCGACGGTTTGGGGCCGTGCGTCCATTTTGGGAGAGACTCCGCCTGCTCGAAGCTGGCGCCAGAAACCGCCAAGACCTACTCCACGGGGGGGGAAGGGGGGAAGGAGGGAGGAGGGAGGAGGGAGGGAGGCAGGGAGGTAGGGAGGGAGGGAGGGATGGGGGGGGGGGGAGGTGCGAGGGCCCGCGCCGATCGGTACAGTAAAGCATATGACAAGTAATCACATGCCGGAGCTGGCGTTAGGGAGCGGAGCGCTCCTGCGGAGGCCAGGCCTCTGCACACTGCGTCGGAGGGCGCCCGACGCTCCAGGGGGCTTCTCGGGAGCCTCCCGGGGACTTGCTGGCGGCCTCGAGGGCCATCGGGTGGTGGACTGCTCCGGGCGTCAGCTCCAGCCCCACAGCTTGGGCCCCTCTCGGGGGCCTCGGGGGCTCTCTTGGGCGGGTCTCGGGGGCCTTATGGTCGCCTGGGGCGCCATGGGACCGACAAGGCGAGCATGCGAACGCCAGCCAGAGATCTGATGATTCCCATGTGCTTCAATGACTCGGGCTTTGCTGGTCTAGCCCCAGGACCTCCGAGACGGTCCACGAGGCTCCCAAGAGGGCTCCAGCACGGAACCTTGGGACTATCTTAGGGCGTGCTGGAAGTTTGGACTCCCGGTCACGCTGCCGAGACCATGAGAAATTCACGTGGCGATTCCCAGGAGCGCCCGAGAGCGTCCAGGAATTCCTGGAACTCAGGGGTCTGGGCCCATGGAATGGAAGAACACTCGCAATCCTCAGTGCAGCCAGCGCGGAGGGACATATGTCATTGGATCGGGGCTTGGGGGGCATCAGACGTCCGAGCTTCTGTTTCTAAGATCGGATATTGGGTTGGGCTCTCGGAGGGCTGACTCGGGCAACAAAGCGACAACCTCTCTCTTCCCGAGCGTCCCATCCTCTGCGGGGGGAAGCGGCATTCACCATCCAGCCCGATGACAAGTTGTTGGCAGTCAGAGGTCTGACCAACGCTACCAAGCCATAGGCACTAGAGGTATTACTTGCGGGTGGCTCTGGCTGAGCTTGGAATCGCAGGACCTCGTCTCGACGCCCCCTTCAGAGCGAAACTCAAGCCGACGTTCGACAGATCTCGAGGATCGAAGCTGCTGGACATGCTGTCTGCTTCCTGTGGGCGTCCGGGGTCCTCCCCAAAGACTTCGGGAGGCCCCCATGGACCTCCAGTCACGCATGTCTGGTGAGGGGTTCTGTTCCTCCAAGAAGGGAACCTTCAAGAACGAAGGAGGGCGTGTGCGTACAAGCTGTTGGGCACAATGCGAGCGCGGACATCCCGCAGACCACGGTCTAGCTCCAGGCAGCAAGGTGCACGATGGCATCACGCAGCATGTGCTCGACGTCAGAGATCGGCGTCAGCCTGCTCCGAGGGAGGGAGGCGTGGGTCTGGCGAGGATCTGTGGAAGTGCTTCAAGGAGTTCGATACCAGCGGTTCGGGGCGAATCCAGCTGGACGTGGCCATCCTCATCGCGGAAAGGCTTGCGATTGGATGCGGGCAGAATTTGCGAAGCATGGGATGATCAGTGGACGGAGGATGCCATTCTGCGGGTGAGAGGCTGAGAGCGGAGTTGGTGTGTTCGACCATGTCTTCGGGCATCTCCTCCGTGTAGGCCGCTCCCTGTCGTTCCACAGGTGACAGTGTGTTTGGCTGGTCGTTTTGCTTGAGACCCTTCCAGAATCTACAGCACCGAGTGCCAACATGTGTAACATCGTGTTGAGATCATGTTCAAACTCGCATTTCACATGACGAGGCTTTCGGCCCATCCCGCCCACCGTGGCTGGGTTTTGGGCCAGAGGTCTCTTCGATGCCTGTTTCGGTCACTTGGGATGTCTCTCGGGGGCCTCTGGGAAATCTCTGAAGTGCTTGGTGGAAGTCTCATGGGGACCTATGGGGGGCGTCGTGGATTCTTTTTTGCAAGCTTCTGGAGCCTCTTGAGTCCTTTTGAGGGTTGTCTTGGGGGAATATTGGTGGTTTGGGGGTCCATCATTGGGCGGAGGGTTCCCAAGTCCAATCGAGGTCCCCCTCTTGGGGCCCCTTTTGGACCCTTTTTCGGCCGTCTTGGGGGCCTCTTGGGCCTCTTTGGGCAATCTTAAGGGCCTCCTTGATAGTCTTCGGGCGACCTCGGAGGTCTCTTGGGCCGGCCTGGGCTCTTCTGATGCGCGAAAACGCAAGAAGGCAAACATCTTTCAAACGCCTGCACGTAATCCATGGTTCTGGCACCTGGGGGCCCTCTCGTGGGGAATTGTGGAGCCCTCTTCGGGCGTCTTGGTGTCTTCTTGGCTCATCTGGAGGTCGTTTTGGGCCGTCTCGGAGCGCTGCTGGGCAGTATTGGGGCCCTCTTAGCCCTTTCGGGGCCATCTTTGGACTGTATTGGCCGTCTTGGCGCTCCCTGCCTTGGAAAAGCACGCGATAAGCCCCAAAGGTCATGCGGAGCACCCCAGAGCATCCGGGAATTGGTGGTCTGGGCCTTCTGGAAGAGCACCGAGAGTAACCATTCCATGCAGAGAACTTCCCTCGAAGGGACCTGAGGACACTCCACAGTGCCTGCGGCACGGTGCCGGATTCTTCACAACGTCTTGGATATCGAAGGGTCCAAGGAGGAGGAGGAGGAGGAGGAGGAGGAGGAGGAGGAGGTGAGGTTGATTTTCGGAACGGCGCTCTCATGAGAGAATCTCCTCGCTGCCTTCGTGTGAACTAGCTCCAGATCCCAGTCAAACCGCCGGCGTGCGCGGGAATGAGCCCCCAAATGACGCCTCCCCACATCGTTTCCAGGGCATCCGTGGAATGTAGCGCGGCATCCCACATCAGTGATGTGACACGCGAGGTTCGGGAGCTCACCCCCGAAAGGACTCGACGGACATACGAGGAGGTGGAGGAGGAGGAGGAGGAGGAGGCGGACAGGGAAAGGAGGGACAAAAATGAGGGGGTTGGAGAGCGGGGAGGGGAGGAGGGCGTCAAGTACTCCCAAGGCGAGGTAGAACAAATTACTGTAGACAAACCGCTCGATGGCGGAAGGCAACCAGGGAGGGACGAAGTGGACAATAATGAGGAGGAGGCGGAGGAGAAGGAGGATTAGGAGGAAGGAGAGAAACGGATACGGAAATAGGCGGCCGATCATGATGATGAGGAGGAGGAGGAGGAGGAGGCGGAGAAGGAGGAGGAGGAGGAGGAGGAGGAGGAGGAGGAGGAAGAGGGGGGGGACGAGGCAGGAAGGAGAAGGGAAAAGCTAGGATAGGAGGTAGACTGATGAAGAGGTGAGGCGGATAGTTCAACGAGTAATGAGGATTAGGATGAAAGGCAATGTAATAAGGAGGTGAGAGGGAGCAGTATCGATGATGACACCAGTGGTCACCACACGGCAAGGGTATCAATACAGAGAAGGATATTGCTAACCATGGTTGCAATGAGGAGAGTGAGCCGCAGCATCAGCAGGACATGTATGCGGCTACACGCCTGCACGCCGCGACATTCGCGTCAGGTTCGGCATTTCCATGCTGACAGACGCCGTGGACGAGCTTCTCTCGGGCCTCGGCCTGAAGAACGACACCACCCTGGACCGTCGCCTTCACCGCCGCCACCACCCTCCTCGATCATGGGAGAGGAGGCCATAGCCACTCCGAGCTCGGTTGGGCGGCATTCCTCACTTGTCCTCCGTTGACCCCCCTCCCCCCGCGCAGGAAAGAGACAACACCACCCCCCACCCTTCTGTTTCCATGCGCCCCTCGGGGTTTACCGTCTTTCTCTTTTTCTTCTTCTTCTTCTTCTTCTTCTTCTCACACCCCTCAGTCCTCACATTCCAAGCGGGTGTCCTGCTCCCCACGCCCCGCAACAAGAAGAGACCCTCCGTCGGCGGAGGAAGAGGAGGGGAAGAGGAGTTGGACTATGAGGAGGAGCTGAGGAGGTGGAGGAGGAGGAGGAGGAGGAGGAGGAGGAGGAGGAGGAGGGAGGAGGAGTAAGAGGAGAACCAGGAGCAGCAACAGACATCTGTCCCTCAGGACCTGGATGGGCGAGGCCACGTTTCGATTGGTGCCATGCCGTTGAGCGCCTCGTGGCGCTTTGTGCGCCGGGAGGCCCTGGCGAGGCCTCGCCCGGGTGCCTGCCCTGTGGGCGCCCACAGGGCGGGGCGTGTACCTTCTGGACTCTGGCCCGGCAGACCTGCTGCACGACGGTCGTTGAAAGTAGGTACGTCTGGAGTCCCAGAACCCGATCTACCTCGAGCGCCTTCCTACTTCAAGAGCCGATCTACTTTTAGTGCGTTTTGTTACTCTCTGGGCGGGCCCAGACCCAATCTGGTTGATCCGCCTTCCTACTCCATGTTTCTGCCTACTTCTTCCGACCGATGGGTATTGAGTCGGTCTGGCAGAAGGCAGGCTTTGCCCTGTCTTGACAGTCGAACTGCGCCTGTGACGCTTCAGACTTCTGGCAAGCAGTGCGCATGATCTTAGAGGCTTGAGCCGCACTCTCCGACCCCTACATGAGTTACAACCGAGAAAAGTCCCGATCAGTGCATGGTTCGACTGTTTTGCAAGCACCATCCCCGGCCGCAGTTCTGCAGGAGGGCCCTCAGAGGCTAACTCTCATTGATTGCCATTGCGTGCTGGAAGGGTTGTGGCATCCTCGCTATGTTGGGCGTCTGTCGGCTCAAAGTGGCCTGGGAGGTCTCCAAGATTGCCCCAGGACGGCGCACGAGGGGCCCAAGATGACCCAGGCGGGCCTCCCGAGGTACCCTCGACGGCCCGAGAGGGCCCCTCGACGACTCAAGAGGATCACAAGCGATGGAGAGGGAGCGCCCGCCGACAGCAGCCCACCGAAAGCCGCCCACCTGAATGGGCCGGCCACTTTCGCCGATCTCTTGAGGGGATGCCCACGGAAAGCCGCCCGCCGAGAGCCGCCCACCGAAATCGGCCGGCCACTTTCGCCAATCTCTTCCACGTCCGCCCCCTCAGTGCAAACACTGATTGGGGAACTGCGTCGCCTCCAGTTCTGCAGTTCACGAGCCTTATCTGAATGATGAAACGGCGCTCAACATCATTATGGTTGTCTCGTTGTTGTTATGTGTTATCGTGCTTGCTGCTTGGTCGTCGCGCGTAGATGTTGAATGTCCACCGAGAGGGCATGTACGGTTGAGGAACATCTGTTATTGGCGCCATGCGGTCTCAACAGAGTGGGATGTGTCTTGGTGTTTTTACCCAACAGCTTTTACTAATAGGCTGAGGCAGGCTGAGGCTGAGGCTGACGCAGGCTGAGGCCGAGGCAGGCTGAAGTTGAGGCTGAGGCAGGCTGAGGCTGAGGCAGGCTGAGACTGAGGCTGAGGCAGGCTGAGGCTGAGGCTGAGGCTGGTGCAGGCTGAGGCTGAGGGGCTGAGGCTGAGGCAGGCTGAGGCTGAGGCTGAGGCTGAGGCAAGCTGAGGCTGAGGCTGAGGCAAGCTGAGGCTGAGGCTGAGGCAGGCTGAGGCTGAAGCTGAGGCAGGCTGAGGCTGAGGCTGAGGCTGTGGCTGAGGCTGAGGCAAGCTGCGGCTGAGGCAGGCTGAGGAGGCTGAGGCTGAGGCTGAGGCTGAGGCTGCTGAGGCTGAGGCTGAGGCAGGCTGAGGCTGAAGGCTGAGGCTGAGGCTGAGGCTGAGGCTGAGGGCTGAGGCTGAGGCTGAGGCTGAGGCTGAGGCTGAGGCTGAGGCTGAGGCTGAGGCTGAGGCTGAGGCTGAGGCTGAGGCTGAGGCTGAGGCTGAGGCTGAGGCTGAGGCTGAGGCTGAGGCTGAGGCTGAGGCTGAGGCTGAGGCTGAGGCTGAGGCTGAGGCTGAGGCTGAGGCCGAGGCTGAGGCTGAGGCTGAGGCTGAGGAGGCAGGCTGAGGCTGAGGCTGAGGCTGCGGCTGAGGCAGGCTGAGGCTGAGGCTGAGCAGCTGAGGCTGAGGCAGGCTGAGGCTGAGGCTGAGGCTGAGGCTGAGGCTGAGGCTGAGGCTGAGCAGGCTGAGGCTGAGGCAGGCTGAGGCTGAGGCTGAGGCAGGCTGAGGCTGAGGCTGAGGCCTGAGGGCTGAGGCTGAGGCAAGCCGAGGCAGGCTGAGGCTGAGGCTGAGGCTGAAGCTGAGGCAGGCTGAGGCTGAGGCTGAGGCTGAGGCTGAGGCTGAGGCTGAGGCTGAGGCAGGCTGAGGCTGAGGCTGAGGCAGGCTGAGGCTGAGGCTGAGGCAGGCTGAGGCTGAGGCTGAGGCCGAGGCAAGCCGAGGCAGGCTGAGGCTGAGGCTGAGGCTGATGCTGAGGCAGGCTGAGGCTGAGGCAGGCTGAGGCTGAGGCTGAGTCAGGCTGAGGCTGAGGCAGGCTGAGGCTGAGGCCGAGGCAGGCGAATGCTTCGGAACCCTTAGGATTCCCTAGGAATCCTTAGGAATCCCTCGGAATCCCTAGGAATGTGGATTCCTAATGATTCCTATGGTTTCCTATGGATTCCCATGGTTTCCTAAGGATGCCTGAGAATGCCTTAGGAATCCCTAGGAGTCCTTCGGATTCCATTGGATCCTAAGGCCGTTGCCACTGCGACTGTCATTGCGACTGCGACTGCGAGAACAGCAGAATTCTACTATTGGATTCTCACCTGAGACTTAATGGAGAATGCTTCCAGATATGCTTATACACATCGCTGTTAGGTTGCTTTGCCGGGATAATTGGCACTGGGTAAGTACCTAAGTGATAGACGTCGTGTTTGGTGTGTGCAAACTGAGGTACTGGCATGGTGCCATGAATACCCATTGAGGTCCACATGTAGCACGGCTGCGCTGCAACAACCAGGCGGCATGAGTGCGGACATGCCCAGGGCGTGTGTGGCGGCGTTCGGAGAATACCTTTCCGAGACTGTAGATGTCTGTGGACGGCGTCACGCCATGACGCCTGGCAGCATGCCTCGTAGAGGGATGTGTATATCGCTTCGATTGGCCGTGGTCACCAGACCTGGCGGGAGGGCTTCTTTTAACATGCAAGCCGCGACTTGTCGGGTGGTTCCTAAAACATGCGCATGCCTAAACATGCGCAGGCCTGGGCGTGACCACCAGTACGCTGGTCGGGATGTACAACGTTTACGTCTTCGAATCCCGATCTTCAACGTTTGTGTTTCAGTGTGCCAGTGCACACCTACGTGGTCAGCTTGGCCGGCTTGTTTAATTTTCTTGCATGCCGGGGTCTGGCGGCCTGACGGCCTGGCGCGTGGTTTGAAACAGCAGGGAGGACACTTACATGCGGCACTGCTTGGCTTTTCGCAAGCTGTGCGCGCCCCTGTCGTTCGGTAGGAGTTCACAGGGGCCTTATATACCCTCGCGATTCCGCCGTCAGGGCGCATGGCCTCGAATAGCGTCTGGCAGCCGATGGGATAGCGCTGGTTTAGCGTCGACTGAGGTCGACTTGGCGCCGATTCAACATCGACTAGCTTCGACCAGCCTCTTTTCGCAAGAGCCAGCAAGAGTTGCCGCCGAACTGCCTCGAGCGCGGCGCGGCGCTCTCTCTCTCTCTCTCTCCCTCTTTCTCTCGCTCTCTCTCTCTCTCTCTCTCTCTCTCTCTCCCCTCCCTCGTTCTCTCTCTCTCTCTCTCTTTCTCTCTCTTTCTCTCTCTCTCTCTCTCTTTCTCTCTCTCTCTCTCTCTCTCTCTCTCTCCCCCCCTCCCTCGTTCTCCCTCTCCTGCGCCCCCACGCAGGGGGCCCAGGGGACCCCGCCCGCCTCCGAGCCGCTCCGACGCCGCGCACCCCTCCGCGGCTGACCCCGCGCGCGCGCGGGCCCGCGCGGGCGGCGATGTCCGCTCTGCCCGGCCGGCGCGCGGCGCAGCGGGCCCTCGGCGCGGCAGGGCGCGGGCGGCGGGCGCGGCCGCCCCCGGAGGTGGGAGGGCACCAGCCCCAGAGATTCGGAGTCGATTTTACTAAGGATGTGGCCCCATTTGGGCTTCCTGAGGGGGCAACCCTAATTGAAGCTCCCCTCTTCTTTGAAGCCAAAAGGTTCTGGCCCCATTTTGCCCTCCTGAGGGGGCAGCCCTAATTGAAGCCCCCCTCTTCTGTGATCGATGTCCTCCAAGATGGCCCCAAGAAGCGCCCAGGAGGGCCCAAGAGGCCCCACACGGGGTGGCGACCACACCGTGCGGTGAGTCGGTGGGGATTCGGGGTCACCGCAGGGTGTTGGGACTCGGGCCGTTCTCCGAGGACGTCTCGGGCGACTGGGGCATCCGAGGTCCCCAAGACCGTGCGGTGACGGACCGTGCGGTGAGGTCTTGGGGGATTTCGAGGTCACCGCACTGTCTGTCACCGCACCGCTTCGGGACTCCAAACAGAGATCCAACGCATGGACAAAAATCACGACGGGCGTGTTTCCTAATTCTCGGCCTCTGGGGGCCCTCACCGGGCCGCGGGACCGTCACAAACCGATTGGGGATGAAGAGCCGGTCCTGGGAATGGGTCGACCCTCCCCGGGACCCAGTATTGAAAAGATCGCGACGTCGGATCTCTGGGACTATACCCCTGTCCGGGCTCACGTGGCGGGGGTCAGCGTTGACGTGGGGTCCGCCAGTCCCTCCTGGCTGACCCGGTCTGGGGAGGAACGTAGAGGGCCGAGTTTTTTTTCCGCTCTCCGCTGACCCGGGTTTGAGAGGTACTACAGGCGGCCGGCCAGGGTTCGCGACGGGGCCCTGGCCGACACGGGTTTGTGTTGACCCAGGGTACGGTTGGGGCGGTCGTTAAGAAATGTGCCCAGGGGGCTCCAGACCCTGGAGGATTCCTTATCTGAGAACGTCGGCAGTGACATCCATGGCCAATCCTCGATTGGTGTTCCGCCAGCTTCAAGACCATGGATACTTATCCAATGGATCGTTATCCAATGCCCTCACCGTAGTGCGTTGTGCGTGCACGAACCTGCACCGATCCTGAACAGGCCGGTCCTGGCTGGGTCCAGGAGGAGCCTGTCGGGTCGGACGAAAAAGGGGGGACAGGGAAGGGAGGGAGGGAGGGGGTAGGAAATCTGCTGCGTGCAGCCCGCTTTGGGGGCGCATTCCTCTGGCGCCCAGGCGCAGGAGAAACCCGGTCCAAGGTGAGCTGCTTCGCTGGCCCCCCCTCTGACCGGGATCGGTGCAGATGTACAGTTGTCAGGTGTTCGATCACGATCCTCGATGGTTTCTCCGACGGGCTTAGGCGGCCCGTCCTCCTCTTCCTCCTCCTCCTCCTCTTCCTCCTCCTCCTCTTCCTCCTCCGACCCCTCCCCCTCCTCCTCCTCCTCCTCTTCCTCCTCCTCCTCCTCATCCTCCTCCTCCTCCTCCTTCTCCTCCTCCTCCTCCTCCTCGTCCTCCTCCTCCTCCTCCCCCTCCTCCTCCCTCCTCCTCCTCCTCCCCCTCCTCCTCCACCTCCTCCTTCTCGTCCCCCACCTCCCCCTCCCCCTTATTGAATCGCGCCAAAGACCGCCGGAAACCGCCAAAGAGACCGCCGGAAGTCGCCGAAGACCGTCAGAAGGCCACCGACCACCGCCGCAGATCGCCGAAAACCGCCCAGGGGCCGCCGAAGGCGGCCCAGGAGCGGTGCGCAAAACAGGGGGCCCACGGTCTAACACACGGAGCAGTTGGCCGGCATCACCCCAAAACATACTCATATCATGTGTGCGTCGCCCCCCCCCCCAGGGGGCGACGCGCGCACCGAGAATTTGTTTATAGCGCGTGCGTCGTGGCGGGCGCTTTCTGGCCACCACACCGCCTGGGAATCGATCTGCTACAAGAGGGGCATACTACATGTTCGTGTCGGACGCGCGCCTCCAAGGCGGACATACACGGTATTAGTACTATGTCTCTGTGCGTCCCAGTTGGCGTTCTCCCGTGGAGGAGCTCGCGGCCGCCCGGTGCGACCCGTGGCGCGGGGCACCGCCGGGGCGCGCGTGCAGCTCCTCCGCGAGGCCCCCAGACGTGCAGCTCTCCGCCCGGCGGTGCTCCGGGCGGCCCGGTGGGCGGCCGTTTGGGCGGCCGCGGGGTCGGAGGGCCCGGCCACCTCGCCCTGTGTGCATCGCCGGTGAGGCGCGACCTCGGGCCATATGATTCTAAGGCGGGCCTGTCCCTCTACCGGAGGAGTAGTCTAGCACAGTTGTAAGATAAATCGGGGGACGATTTGTTTTGACCACTGATTGTGGCTAGTTCACATCTGTTTGGTGACTAGTTTTGAGATGTCGCCCAAAATCCGCCTGTAGGGGGACATGCCCGACCTAAGCCTCGCCTTGTGTGCATCGCCGATGCGGCGCGGCCACGGGCCATAGAGAGGGGCCGAGGGGCGCACAAACAAAAAGATAAAAGTCCTAGGATTCCCGATCTGTTTCCTTATTTTCTGGGTCCTGGTCTTCCCCCCCCCCCACGTCCCATATTTTCCCATACTTTCCGGGATATCGGCGATGATTCGGGCCTGTGTCTGTTTTTCCTTCCTGAAGCCAGACCTTCTGCATACCGACGTCGCAGATGCATCGCCGATGCCGCGCGGTGCGCTGGCCCTCGTCTGCTCGGGCCTCATCTGGGCGGCCCCCAGGTTCGGTAGCACGTCGTAGGAGCCTGGCATACCCTCGAATATGCCGTCGACAGGGCGCATTCGCGTCGATTCTGATTTCGTAATCGATGAGGTACCGCCGATGTTTCGTCGACGAGCGCCGATTAGCGTCGATTCAGCGTCGACGAGCGTTGGCGAGAGTCGATTCGCAAGAGCCCACAACGAGATGGGAGGCTCCCATACGGTGCCGCAGAGTCCAGGTGCGACGATCCTTGCAGTTTGGGGGTATTCAACTGGATGTCGTCGGATTCGGTCGACGTTTGGGCGACATCTGCACGACATCCAGACGAAAGCTAGACGAAAGCGTGAAGAGTGGTAGTCGAAATCTGAACGAAGTCCGCTCGAAATCACGTTTCTGACAGGGCCGCGGGGGTCCGCAGATGCTCCCATGAAGGCTCACGCGGCATCCCGGCGGCCCCAAGGTACGAGGCCCTGCTGGACGCGGAGATCATGCACTTCGCAAGGGCGAAGCTCCACCCGATCACCCTGCGGGACATCCTCGGGCAGAAGGACGTGGCGGCTTTCCGCGAGTTCCTGCTGGAGGAGCTGCCGATCCGCTATGCGAGGATCGCCACGATCGAAATGGGTACGGCCTGCGTGGCCGGGCCCGGCGGCCCGAAGGCCTGGCTCGTGGTTTGAAACAGGAGGGAGGAAACGGTGCGCCCTCCTGTCGCGAGAGCGGCGCCGCGTCGCTTTCACTTTTTTAGGTGCGATCGAGGTGGGCACGAAAAAAACAATGGACGAAGACTGGCAGCATGTCCTGCTCATTTTGAAGAGGGCTCGCTGTCGATGTACGCTATACATCTGAGACAGGAGACCGCCTACCCAACAGCGGCCGCTGTCGGTTTTGGACAGCATGTGTTGTTGGCAGCGCATCGATCGATTTCGAACCAATTTCGGGCGGCCAGAAAGGAGACTGCACCTGCTGGAATCCATGCCGCAGTGGAAGGACTTCCCGCACCTGAAGGTCATCCGGTCGCTCTACGCCGACGCGTTCCGGCGTCTACGGGACATTTCACTGTCGGGCGAGGAGCGGTTCAGGACGACGCTCGAATACATCAGGCGAAAGAACTCCAACATGTTGCCGCACGTTGTGAGGGGGACGCGCGCAATGAAGAAGTCTCTGCAGCTGGACGACGAGAGGGTAAACGACTTCCTGGATGACTTCCTAACAGGCACGATCGGGACCGACATCCTCTCCTCGCAGTACTTGGCCATGACCAGGCCAGGCAACCCGACGTCGGTAATCGACCCGCAGTGCGACCCGGTCAACGTGGTGCGGGCTGCGGCCGAAGAGGCGAAGCGCCTTTGCATGCATCACTACGGCCGCGCGCCGCCCGTGGAGGTGGTGGACATTGGGCAGGTCCGGTTCCCGTTCATCTCGGGGTACCTGAACTACATCATGCTCGAGCTGCTGAAGAACTCGCTGCGCGCCGTCACGGAGAGGCACGTCGACCGCGCCAGGGTGGGTGAGCACCCGGTGCGGGTGGTCGTCTGCGGCGACGAGAGGATCGTGGTCGTCAGGGTCTCGGATTGTGGCGGAGGCATCCCGCCAGAGAGCCTCCCGAAGGTGTGGTCGTACCTCTACACGACCGCCACGGCCCAGGGCGAGGACGCGCTGTCCGACGGCGACTCCGACGAGGAGCCCCCGATGGCCGGCTTCGGGTGCGGCCTGCCGCTGAGCAGGAACTACGCCACCTACGCGGGCGGCAGCCTCGCGCTGAACACGATGTACGGCTACGGCACGGACGCGTACCTATACCTGAACCGCCTGGGGGACTCGCAGGAGCCGGGGGCTCCCGTAGAGGACCCAGACATGATCGCGTCGTTGAAAATATCAGGACGGACGATTTTTTGCTATTTTCGGCCCCAGGGAGCCCTCGCCGGGCCCCGGGAGCGTCAAAAACGACTCACCGGCCCCAGAGAAAGGGTCGGGACTTCCGGGGACGCCGTCCTGAAAAAATCTGGACGTCGCATGTCTGGGGAGGGAGGTTGTACCAAGGCTGGGTCAGGGAACGAACCCCCTGGACGCTCACGTTTCCTTCTTCGGGCGCCATTGACAGCGATCTCCTCCAAGGGTTCATTTCGATCTGATCGATCCGATTCGATATCGATTCCGGCCGGCGCGATCCGATGTGGTTCTGGTATTCTGGTGATTCGTTGGGCGGCCCGATGCTGAAAAGGCGATGCCGTGTATCTTGGGCACGGTCCATCCGACTCGACTTCGATCCTGGGCCGATAAATCCCGATCCGATGCGCATTCCGACTCGACCCGCCTCCCTGGCTCGATGTTGAGTGACCTTGACTTCTGCCCCTGCGTCGCCGATGACTCGTATGCACCGTTCCGCGTTGGCGCCTCCCGGTGCGTCGGCGATCCTGGACCCGGGGACGGGCGCGGGGCATGCTTTTCCCGTTCCTCGGGCTGGCCCTCAGGGCCGAGAACACTGTGCACCGTACCACGTGCAAGCGGGGCCCGAAGCAAGATCAGGCATGTGCCATGGTGCGGCGCATGGGCGCCATGGCTCGTTCTCGTCCAACGCATATTGACATGTTTGGAATCATCGCGTTTAAATGCAATGATTCCAAACATGTATTGACGTCTTCCTGGGCCCCCACCTTGACGCCTGCCCCTCCCCCGAGGGAGCCTCCTCCCCCTTGGCAGGAGGTGGTCGAAGTCGAGCCGAGGGCGGCGCTGCCGTGCAGGGGCTTCGTGCCCAGGGCAGATCCCGTCCGCTAGGAGCTGCGGCCGCGCCGGGCGAAGCTGAGGCGCATCGAGAGTGCGCCGCGCCCGCGCGCGCGAAGCTAGCCGGCCTGGGGCCCACCAAGGACTGTTCTAAGAACCTTTTATTGCTTGTATGGAGGACGAGGTGGAGGAGGAGGAGGAGGAAGAACGCCACAGGTTTTCACCTCAGGTTTGCTTAACGTTAAGAAAGGGAGGACGAGGGCGAGGACGAGGAGGAGGAGGAGGGGGATGAGGATGCTCTGTTTACCGCCCCTCACCCCCACCCTTCCCCCTACCCTCCTGACCTTCCTGCTTCAGTGCTTCCCTTTTCCCCTGCGAGAGCCTCAAACCCTAAACACCGACAAGATGCCGTTTCCAGGGCAACCGGCACAGATGCTTCCAACACGCCGAGGGAGGCACCGTCGCCGCGTCGTTCTGCAGCACAGCGGGGCGCCCTCCGCCTGCCCACTTAATCCCCCCAGTTCCCCTCTCCCTGGTGGCTCTTGGAGGTTCGGCACTGCCCCAGAACAGTCGGGGGTGGACAGACCTCCTACCCTGACACGTCGATTAGTAAATTGTCCTTTTTCGGTTCTCGAGAAGGCGCCGCGGCCGTTATTTTCCAGGCTTGCCCCCGCCCCGCCAGGTTTGGGCCCGAGGTCGTTTTCACTAAACCACGTTTTGCTAAAGGGAGGTCTGTCCATTCCCGAAGCAGGGGGATATATGAGAGGGAGTGGAGGACAGCAAGGATAGCGAGGTTGAGCAGGAGGGCAAATGATGAGGCTGGAGAGGGGCAGGGTGGCGATCCCGCGGCTGGTGGCGGCCGCCCTCGAGGCGTCGTCCCCGCTGGGAGGCGCCTCCACCTCGAGATGCTGGCGGACCCACCCGGCAGGGGCCGCAACAGGCATCCCGAAGGGGCGTCCTGAGCTAAGTCGGGCCTGTCCCCCATACAGAAGGATTTTCGACGAGAAATAGCAGGTACCCCAAACATATTTTCCAAAAGTCAAAAATAGTCGTAGTCCCCCGACTATTTTTTTATTATTTTACAGCATTCTGGGAGTATTATTAAAATGGTTTTTATTGTTCGTCCAAAATCCCCCTGTAGGGGGACAGGCCCGACTTAAGTCTTCAGGGATTGCCCCTTGTGGACAGCATTGGTTGGCGCGTGCACGCTGCAAGCATGCAGACAGCAAAAGCAGTATCGCTGCCACGGAGGTCGGACGACCCCATCAGCATGTTCTTTGCTGAGGGAGAACCATGGTGTTCTGCAAAAAGGCGCTCGGGTAACACGCGCAATTGGAAATACGGCGCGCGTGCCATCGTCACCCCATCCCGAAACATGCAGGCAAGTCACTATCTTCGGCGGCGGAAGCGCGCACGCAGACTGCACATGCCGACCCCGGAAGGCGCGTCTTGGCCGCAAGCCCCCTAACGCAGGCAAAGGCAAACCTCAAATTCACGTGGTCTGGCGCTTTCGCAAAGCCCCTGCAGGGGCGGGAGGAAGGGCGGGAAGGGGGGCAGAAGGAAGCGAGTGCGCGGGCATGGCCGCGGCGCTCAGCCTCCTCCAGCTTCCCACCCCGCAACCGCCGCCATGTGGCCGAGGACGGTCCCAGCCTTCTCGTCGATGTCCCGGACACGGCGCACTGTGCCCGCTGGGAGCGCGTGGCCTTCCAGGCCGGTCTCGGCAGTGGTGTCGGCGCCTGCGTTGGCCTGCAGCCATTCTTTGGCCCAATGGGCTTGCCGGCGAGCGCGCCAAAGTTGGCGCTCGGCCTTCGCTGGTTCCAGGACGTCGGTGTGGCTTGGGACCCAGACGACGTCCAAGTTGTCCAGGGCTGTAGACCGTATCTGATCTGGGCCCGGCAGGGCGCCCCAAACGGTCAGGCTCCCGTCGGCGCTGACCACGCCCCACGCCGCGAGGCGAAGGCGGGGGTCGCCAGGATGGGCCGCCGTGCCGTCGGTGGCCACCGGTCTGGCGAGCTGCGGGTGGTTCGGCTGCTGCCACCACGTGTCGGGGCGCCCTCTTGGTCCTGGGACATTCCCAACAGGGCAGAGGCGAGTGGCTTCCGAGGGTACCAGGCCGCGGGAGAGAAAGTTGGCCTGGGCGCACTGCGCGCAACGATCGGCGAACTTTGTGCCAGACCGGCCGACGCGCGCTCAGCCCGCCGCGCCGGGCAGGCGAAGAAGCGGTGGACCTCGTCTGCGTTCGGCGTCCCGCAGCGGTCGCACTGGCCATCGGATCGGCCTTGTCAGGCAGCCCGCGCCGGCGTGCTGGTGGTGCTGCGAGCACGCACCAAAAGGCGCCGGAGTGTGCGCTCGGCTGCCACCGCCGCCTTCCTGGCTGTGCGCTCCGTGGGCGCGGCAGTCACGTCGAGCGGGGCACGGCCGGTAAGCCGCCACAAGAAGGGCCTCTCCAGCCTCCACCCCAGGCCGCACACAACCTGCACGGCGGCCGCCACTGGCCCCCGCACCCACGAGCACAGCAGCCGGCCCTGCTGGCTGCTGGCCGCGGCACGCCACGCCGCGATCAGCTGCACGGGGCACTGCCACCGCAGGGCCAACGTGGCGGTGAGGCGCATCCCGCCTCTGCGGGGCCCCCGAACGCAGGAATGGTGAGGGAGGGAGGACGAGGGAGGGTGGAAGACGAGATGGAGCATGAGGAGGGGCAGGAGGTGGGAGATGAGAAACAACACAATTCCCTTTTTTTTCCTCTCATGGCTCCCTCCAGTTTGTTCCCTTGTCCCCTGGCTCCCCTGTCCCCGCCCGCCCCCGACGCCCGAGGCCTACAGAGCTTACTAGGGACGCCACGGTGGTCGTCCTGTTTTCAATCAGACCCACGGGCTCTGCCCCCCTGGGGGACGGCGACCGTGAGGGAACGGAAGAGGAGGAGGAGGAGGAGGAGGAGGACGAGGAGGAGGAGGAGGAGGAGGAGGAGGATGAAGAGGAGGAAGGGGAGAAGAAGGAGGAGGAGGGGGAGAAGGAGGTGGAGGAGGAGGAGGAGGAAGAGGAGATGGAACAGCCCGCGGTTGCGGACAACGGGGGAGCATGCGGGGCTGCTTCCCACGTCGTGCGATTCCTCCTCTCCCGCCCTGTCCGCCCCGAAGTGAGCTTGTTGTGTGTCTCCTCTGCTGGTCTCCGACCTTGCACGTCGTTTGCCGGGCCGCCGCCTGGGCGAGGCAGCGCGCCCTCCCGTGTCGAAGGTTTGGCTCGTGGTGCTCCCCGGGTTGGTCAATGCGCCGGCCGGCCAGGATCTCGAGAGCTCTTCGCGGGTCTCTCGGGTTCCCCCGTCCGGCCGCACGCTGCGCGTTGCCCAAGAGTCCGTGTGAGCGCACTGGACCACGTCATGGATTTCGGCCAGGCAAGAATCTGTTCCCCCCTTCCCTTCCCTCGATCCCCCCTCATTCCCTCAGGCTCATCTGGGCCCAAGCGTTGCTCTGTCATCAGAGATTCCCCTCACCTCCTCCGCAAGGCGCTTGGGGGACAGCGCGCCGCCCGCGCCGCCAGGCAGTGCAACGGGTGTTCAACGCGCGGGCCAAGAGTCAGGAGCGGAATCTGGGTTACTGGAGCAGTCGCAGGAACAACGCTGCCAGCCAAACCTTTCTAGACGAAGTGCTCATATTTTGGAAGCCAACAAGCGCAACAGCCGCTGTGGCATAGTCTCGGACAAAACTGAAGAAGCCGAGAGACCCCGACGATGTCAACAACGGCGCCGACTGGAATCAGCAGGCCAAGGTAAAAGGCAACGAGGGCAATACGACCAGACATTACAACTATGCAGGTTGTGTGACATATGATTGCCGACGCTGAGGACTTGGGCGCCAAGCAGGCCTGCATGGTCCAGTTTCGAGCCCTGACATCCAAGCCGAATGCGCTGGCCGAGATCTCAGTTGGAGAAGCTGCGTAGTGGGCGTCGAATGCTTGGGTAGACGCCCGTGTGCGGCACGACCAGGCGCAGAGTTAAGTTCTTCGGCGTCGCGCATAACTCGCTCGCGCAAAGGATCGAAACAAGACCACTGCCACGGAGAATGCAGCAGGTGCATTTCACCATCAAATTGCCGCCAAACGTCTGGGGCGAGAAAGTGGAGCGAGCGATTGCCCGCCCACGCTAGGATCGGGCCGCGTATTGGTGGAGTCCTCTACACGTTCTCGAGTATGAACGTGAGGAGGTGGAGAAGAAGCATATTCCACATTCGAAGGCCGAGCTGAAGAGTGCGCGCGGCGCTATCTCCACCGACAGGATTGACATGGAACGCTGGAAATCTCAGATGGCCGAGCTGAAGGAACACGTGGAAGCGATGATTGACGCACACATAAAACGGGAAAGGTGCGGATGGAGCTGCCCAGGCATCCGAACCGACGCCGTCTCTGCCTGCGACGCCGCCATCGACGGGTTCGGCGGCGGCGTCGAAGGCGGGCCCTTGTCTAGAGTAGCCCGCGCATGAGGCGCAGGAGACCTCGGGGAGAAAGTTTGCGGCCGCCAAGGACGCCCCCGAGGCCGCGGGGCTGCGATGGCCCACCCCGGGCAGCTCAAATACCGCACGGGCCCCGAGGGGAATCTTTTGCGGCAACATCGCACAGTGGGACCCCGCTGCCGGGCAGTGGATCGGGCGTTCTATGACCCGATATAGACGCCATGTACGCATGTTCGAGGAGGCGCATCTGCGCCATAACAAGCACGCAGCAATAGGGCGCCAGTTGAGTGGACTGGGACCCCATATGCGCTTCAGCTCTGCGACGCCATCGAGGTCTTCGATGGGGGGGCCATCCGGGGGCGCGCGCTGGAGCTCGAAGCGCCCATTCCAGACAGCTGCCCTTCGTGAGCTTGCAGAATCAGGCTGGGCATCTGCAGCTAGCTACTCTTGCATTTTCTTCCGAGCAGATGGGCGCTCACTTTCCATGATTGGGCCCGAACTCTCTGGCGCGCGAAGGGCCATGGCGCCATTATCCCGAATGCTTACCTCGACCGCGGGACGTTTGTACGCCCAGGAACTAGAGCTCGACGGCTTTGCAGAGTCGGTCGCTGCCTGAAGACGACGCAGTACCCTTGGG